ACATAATCATTTATTATTAATATACTTGAACAGTGATGATAATGAGGATGAAAAATGCATGACAGCATAGTTGGGCCAGGGCTGGGTATAAAGGTTAGCAGACAGATGACATGTTAACACAGGAAGAGCAGTGAACTTTTACTAATGAATCTGCTATTGTACATTGTTTTAATTAATTATCTGATCACAGCAACATGGCCAACTTTGTCCTGATATCAGATTTTCATTATAAAAATCAAATACCATGTACAGTATATATTTTTACATTCATCATCAGGGTGTTATAATCATATCTTAGTGCTAAAATTTCTGCTGTACAATATACAATACTGATGACATATAACTACAGTAACTGGATATTGTCCTACTATTGACAAACATCTACCATGGCTGGTTTCCTTCCTACTGTATTGTTATTTTACCTATACTGTACAAGTACTTAGAATTTTGTAAAAGCTAATCATTGCACAGAACAATCCATTAGACATCCTCGGTAATATTATCCTCATTGACATAGAACTCAGTGTAGGAATTATTAAATTAGTGTTGAAAATTTACTGCAATCAACTTACCCTAATCATTTAGTAAGCACTAGAAGAGAGGATTTAAAAGTGAAAAAGTATGATGTATTTATTAGCCATATTATAAACAGGTCATATTAATTTATGCACCTTTAAAGTTTAACAGTCCAGTTTATATTTTTGGGTAACCATTCAACTACAGTATATAGTAAAGAAAAAAGTGGCTACAGTGTAATAAATATTTTGTTTGTAATTTTATATCTGTAACCCACTTTTCCGTGTCCCAAAACATCTCTATCACTGATGCCATCTTCAAGAAAAATATGGCAGGATGAAGTATTTGGCTATGCCACATGAGATCAGCTCCATATCTGGCCCCAGACCCTTCTACAGCAATATCAAATAACTACATAATATTTGATAATGCACAAACTCAAGAATTAAGAGAAAACATTGGTGGTTCAACTGCAAGAACAGCATGTGCCTAACAAGAGAATGCTACTGGTGCATGATTAATGCACTATAATAGGATGTACAAAAAATTACTTAAAAAACATGATACAACAAATGAAGACAAGGTAAATGACTATTTATGACATGTTGATAGTGGATCAATGTAATACCGCTAATTTTCAGAAGACTCGTGTAATTGCCTATCATTTAAATGTTTTCCGCTTTTATTTCAAATATGCTATTAAAAAATCAATTCCAGTACAGAAACATTTCATACAAATACACTCTCTATTCCTGATTCTTAGAAACATAAACTTGGACTTGTTATTAAGGTGATCTATTGTAAACTTATTAATTACTTATTTAGATTGCTAAAACAACTAATACACTGGCTTTCACCATTTTTGAATGTACAGTATTATTGAAAAAATTTAAACAATCCCACACAGATCTAAATGCTGTACAACTGTTGGTGACATTCCCCCGTGAAGTTCAACACAACACCCAAGTGCGGTACTGTATATATTTGTTAATTACCTATAATGTATAGTACTTGTAAGAAAAGCACAGTAATTCTTTGACTCAATTAATTATTTTTGTGATTTATATAAAACATATCATGCACTTTTAGACCAAATAATCTCAGTACTGTACTAAATTTACAAAAAACAAGCATAAGATTTTTTTTTTTTACCCTAGTATAAATAAAATGAAAAAATATAGCCATTGTTTAATTTTTAAAATGATGGCTCATGTTTACAGAATACTATCTCCAGATGTCTGTGAGTGAAAGTGCACTGTATTGGATCACACATACTGTTCTGAGATCATGGCTTTGAACTAGAGCAAGAAACATTTCTAGCCTACAGAATCTATTTCTGGGACGAGAAGGAAGTTACTGTATATGCCTACATCATTAACAGAAAGTGTGTATCCAATACAAATTAAATATGAACCAGGTTATACATTGCAAGACTTTAATGAATCCAGTATTTACCAGAAACTATTATTTTTAGCCATGTACAGTGGTCCCTCGGTTAACGAATTACCTTCCATAAGAATCTTCATTTCCGTTAACGAACAAAATTCGGTTAATGAAATTCTTACGAAGACGTTTCAACATGTTTTGGCTTGCTCACCAGCTGGAAGATTAGTCTGCCAATACAGAAATTGGTTCTAGGGCTTACATTTGTTAAAATTGGAGTAAATATTAAGAAGGTTGTACTCTTCAATAATTTTTCAAGTTTTATACTGTACAGTACTGTATTAAAATTTTTAGTCATTTTAACACTTATTTAACATAATTGCAGTACAGGGAACTAGTTTTTGGTGCGCCCATCAGCCACTTCACTCACCCACCAAGGACTCAGTTTGTGTCTCTGTTCAGTGGAGAAACATCTTGCTTGTGGGTCTCTTGAACACAGAGTATTTTTACGTTTTTACAGTATACAATTATTGGTCATTCTAAAATTGATTTAACATATTGACAATATATAGTGCAGTGCAGTGTTGATTTAAAGAAAATTATCTTGAATTACGCCTAGTGAACTTGAAATTTTATTGGTGAAATGACGGCATCAAGCATGGGGTGATTTCTCCACCCCCACTTCTAATTCCCATCATCATCATCATCAACCAGGAGCCTTCTACATACACATCTCAAAGTAAGTGTACTTTACGGCATTTTTTTTTTACTTTGTATGCACTTTTCGGTGAGCTGGAACCAATTACCCAATATCCCATTGAAACAATGGATTTGGTTAACAAAATTTTCGGTTAACGAATGACCTTCTAGAATGAATTGTGTTTGTTAACCGAGGGACCACTGAACTGTAATTTGTTCAGAATGTATGTGTGACATTTAATGTTCACCTGTCATTGAGGACTTTTACTTTTGACCCACAATTTTTTTAGGAGTACTATTTCTCAAAATCCCGGTAACAATTTTTTTTTTTCCCAATTATAATTTTGAATCACAAAAATTGGATGTACTGTACCTTAAGTTTTTCAAGACTGTAACACTTATGTACAATAAATTAAGGGTATACAGTAATGTATCAATGTTACTGTATATTGTATGTAATGAATTAAACCATATTTCCCATTCAACCTCTGTTGCTTGTTGACAGTATTCCTGACAAGAGTAAAAACCATATTGAAAATTTTCCCATAGTTCTCAATAAACAAATTAAAGCAAAATACAAATATTTTAAAATGGCCCATATATTTTTCACAAGACTTTTAGTTGTCAAACTAATCAAAATGTGCCACAAGAATAAGGGATACATTTAACCTCCATGAATTTCAGTTTAGCTTTGTAACACTACAGTATTGTACTTCTACATAACTAGAATATTAAACAAATTTTTAGCATGTATTGTATTTTTTAATGATCACAGCACATGTGAAAATATAATATATACTACTACTGCAGTGTGACCAAGATAAGCGAGTGTTCTTAATTTCTCATACATTATTTACCAAAACAGAATAAAAGATCCTGGTTGTCCAAGTGTTTTAGAAGGCAATCTCTCGTCGATATATTTCGTGTGAATATTAAACGTTTTATTTTTATTTTTCAAAAAGTGTATGGTATGTATCTCAAGATTGTTGAATCACTAGTTAAACTAAGAATAGCAAGTAATGATATTTCAAAATTCTTTTTTACTTAGGTTTGTACTGTACAGTGTAACCTTGAAAACCTGGCACTGATGGGACCTACAGACTGCTAGATTTAGGAATTTTCTGGACTGAACAAGGTCATTCCATCAATGTCCTGTCACTGAAACCATGAAGCATTTCTGTCGAAAATCCCAAGGTAAATTAATCTACAGTTTAGTAGTAGTATACAGTAAGTCCTCGCTTAACGTCGGGGTTACGTTCCTGAAAATGTGACGTTATACGAAACAACGTTAAACGGACCAATTTTTCCCATAAGAAATAGATAAAATATGGGAGTTATGTTCCTGAGCCTCCCTTTGTCCCATAAAATACATTACATATACATAAATTCAAAACTCCTTGTGTGATGCCTGGTGAGGTGCTTGTATGCATTACTATACAGTGGGGTATGCTATAATGAATGGATTCTACTACGGATATTCCTATAACGAATGGTTTTACCTATAAAATTGAGAATGCTGTAACGAACGAAACTCATACAACAAATTTTTATTTTTTTTTTTACTAATTTATTGTTTTTTTAATTACAAGTATTAATGATATTCTTTATTTCAGGAGTTTAGATGCATATTTATGCACTTTTTTAAATTTTTTACAATTTTATATTATATTTTTCAGTGTTAAGTGGTTGTATTTGGGGGCCTGGAACGGATTAATCGTATAACGAACGAATGCTATAACGAACAAGGTTCTAGAACCAATTAGATTCGTTATAGCATACCCCACTGTAGTCACATTCATTGAGATTTATAAGAGAAAATCTTAAGACTCCTCTACATGACAGATAAATATATACCACTAGGTAACCTTGGTTGGCCAGCGGGCTGGCGCCAACTGTCATAATACATCACCTCCCCCTCCGCACTTTCAGCAAGATTGAAGGTGGTTTAGGCTTAATTTTTTTATCTTATAAAATGGCATAGATTAAAGCTAGCAGAATATATATTGCATTGTTGGAATCCTTTTAAGACAGCAAATAAGATGAATATAGACATCATATATTTTGCACAAGAGATAAAAATTTTAGTCCCTTAAGTACATTTAAGAACTGTAATGTTTTTTCAACTTATTTTTCAGTAGATATAGTAATTTTCTTCATTTATTTTTACTCATTTATATGCATAGACCATCCTAAATACATATTGTGAAAAAAGGTAAAAAGTACGTAGTCTGTGACGACTCAAACGACGTTGTACCAAGTCACCGGGACGTTAAACGAATTTTTGGTCTCTAAAGTTTAGCAACGTAGTACCAAAACAACGTTAAGTGGGCCGACGTTAAGCGAGAACTTACTGTACTATGCAGTATATAACTATTAGAGTAGTTTCATAAAGAAAGATACTGTAATTCAACATTCACTTTTACTTAATAATCACAATCCACCTTAGCAGAATAGTATAGCATGAGTGAAAACATACATTAGTAAGTAGAAATAGGCACTTTAAAGTACAGGGGGTGTATTCATAATCTTGTAAATGCATGTAAACCTTTTATAATGTGACAAATTAACCCAACTACATATTCTAATTTTTCAATCATTTTGAACTTACTGTATGTTAGACTGTTTGTGTACCATATAATTATTTATGATTTATTCTTGCCTTATTTGTAGTACCACAGGACTTGGAATATCATTTCATCTCGTCTTTATTTGATTAAAAAATTTTCTGCATTATTCTTGCAAAATTAGCAAGTTGTTTGAAAGTAATGGCCAATACTATGCATGATTTTTTATAAGGGAATTTTCCTTAATAGCTATGGTTACAGTACTACAATGAATGTTCATCATTAATGAAACACATTGCTGAGAGGCGCTGTGAGATACATCAGCCAATCATAATATCCCATGTAGTCACATGACAGTAGTAGCCAATCATAGCTCACTCGAAAATTCATTTGAATGGCTGTAACAGAGATTGTTTTGGAATGCTAAAATTATATTTTCCGGTAAATGGAAAGTTCTGGGGATCAAAGATTCCAGCTAACGGGGATATTACTGTACTACTATATTTTGATTTTGTATCTAAGCTGTATTTGGCAACAGTAATTCACCAATTTCTTGGCCTTCAGACATCATATTAGTCCAGCAAACTTTTTTGGAAGTTGAAATCCCAATGTTGTCCAAAGTAGACAAGACTTAAGATACCAACCAAGTGGTCAAGCACTGAGGCTATTATTCTGTACTGTACTGGGACAGATGTGAGCAAGTGAATTGTTGTTTACACAGTTGGTCATAAGATGGCATTTATGAGTGTAGGTGATGTGTGCCTCTCTCTTGTCTTTTGCTTGACCTGACCTGGCATGACCCCTATTTTTGCTTTGGTTGTTGTTCAACTTTTCACATTAGTACTGATCACAAGTTTGTAATTTGTGAAACATCCCTTTACCATGACAAGTATAGCAGTAACATCGATATTTTGCTGTCATAGGTTTCTACAAGTTGCCAGAATAAGAGAAAACTTGTACAGTAGTGGTAGTTACTGAACAAGAAGTTGAAAAAAAAAAGTACCGAGTGGTATCCCAAGGGCCCTGATTTACTACGATTTCAATCTATAAAAAACAACTGTCCTGATTATCTTGAAAAGAAAAATCAATCTATGATTGCAGTGAGCAAAAATAAAGGCATGTAAACATAGTATTATACCCATGATGAAAACTCAAGACCCTATTAAGGCTGCAGACTGATCACTAAATAGAAGTGTCCAGATTAAGCCGACACACTATTTTCATAAATGGACTATATTTATTATTGAATCTAATACTAATATAAGTACTGTACTAGTTAACAGCTGAGCTATATAATTAAAGTTATATTTACTTTTACTGTACTATACCGGGTACTGTAATTCTTTCTAATATGCTTTAGAACTGCTGTTAGTAAAGGTCTATTTAGCTCTAGAGCAACCGTTATTGAAGGTTTATTTGACTCTAAAGCAACTATCAGTAATGTTTTAAATAGCTCTAGAGCTGCTGCAATTCATTTACCGATTTATGTTTTTATAGATGTGCAACTGGTTAAAATGTTATCTGTTCTCTGTACAGGCAAATTAAATACAGTAACTAAACTCTGGTAATTAAGGTTATGAAATATAATGTAACACCATATACCAGGAGAGGAACAGTATAAAGAAATGTACAGTACAATTTGTTGGTTCCAAGCAACTCGAGTAACATATCTCAATGATATTAAAGCTTTATAACAATAAGCACGAAAGCAATTCATCCCTTTATCCAATGGAAACTCAAATAAAAACTAGTTTTGTTTTTGCACCTATTAATTCCTATAATATGTTTTTATTAAAAGTCTTGTGTAGGACATATGAGGGGGAGGGGGGGGGGCCAGTAAAATTTACACTTAATAACATAATAGAAAACAATTTGATGATTCTGATGCAGTACATTTGAAAAGGAAATGAGTTTTTATTTCCCATATCTTTTTAAGGTATCCTTTTAGCCTACTGCAAGTCTCAATACTGTATTAACAATAGACTTCACTTTAAGACCTTCATGAAAAGTGATCAACCATATTACTGCCTATTCTAATATGTACACCTGGATTATTATTGATGAATTAAGCATGAAACCACACCATCATAAGTGTCCTGAAATTAACATGACTTATTACATATACTTTGTTTACAAATTTCTTTCCAATCATATGACAAATGCCAGTAGTTATTTGAGTATACCAACTACTGGCAGTGTAAGTATAAGTTGATGACAGGATGCACCTTTAATAACATTTATTTTCCCTTATAGAACCCAAAACTTTGTAAAAATACTACTACTGTACTAATACATACATATTACAAAACAATGGAAACCAACTGGCAACTGCCAAATTCCATTTATACTGAAACTATATATTTTGTAGAACCTATACACCTAGCTCTCTAGTGAAAAAAAGAAAAAGAAAAAAATATTGGAGCACTAGATGTTAGAGCTGTATGTTCATGTTTTTATTATATATTCTACTTTAGATCTAAACAGAGAAAGACCACACAGGTCACTGCTAGTTAATGACCCAAAGCAGTTAGTGTAAGAGACTGACAGAAAACACAAAAAGATGAAAGCTACACACTTAATCATCCTATTTCAAAGTCAAATGGGAACTATAATAATAAACGCACTTTTTAAAACAATATTCACTACAGATCCATAAGGATTACCATTTTGTCATGACTTACAAAAGTGCAAGTATAATTTTACCTATCGATCTGTATTAGCCATTATACAGTGGGGTGCCAATGCAGGAACTCCTAACACCTAGTAATCACTGCACATTCTTGCAAGGCTCATTCATAACAGGTAATTCAATTGAACCTCTTTACATATTATATAAAGGCATGAGGCACAATTTATATAACTTTATTGTTGGAAAAATTTATCAAAAAGGCTTTTCATCTTTGTTGAAAATGTGAAAAAAATAATCCAATTAATAATATAACCATAAAGTAATTAACATGGGAAACAAAAATATTTTACATGGGGAACAGCAATATTGATGTTCTGCCATTAATAAAAAGCCTAATTGAAATACTGCTATTTACAAGATGTACATGGTTACTCATAAAAATGTTACTTTCTAGTATACTTGTATTGGCTAAGTTAAGTTACTTAATCTAACCCTGATGTTCATGTTGCTCACCATCGTTTTCTCCTTCTAAACGCTGAGAGGTATGTTTCTCAATACTGTACATTCACTCTACTGGGAATATTAGAAATTACCCCAATGTTTTCTATTCTTTCAAGCAGTTCTTCACCATCCTGCACCCTCTTAAGTACAGTAGATTAGATGTGTTCTGATAACATTTTTGTGAATAATCTTGTATAATTTCCTATGAAATATAACTTAAAGTACATACAAATTAACCTGGACTTTAAATAAACGTTCTTTGCTTAGTTAATAGTCACACGACAGTGTATGGACGTTCCAGTTAAATTGATAAGCAATGTTAATCTAAACTGGGAGATACAACAAATGAATACATTACTGTATTGATAACCTCTGAAGTATGGAGAAAGTCAATTTTCTCTTAAAAAATAACTTAATGGTTAGAGAAAGATAAATTGGACCAATTATTAAATCACAGGAGGAATTTTGAATTTCATCTAATGATCTACTGTAGGTATCACATAACTGTTTTCTGACAGAGTTTAAGAGAGCTTTAAAGTACAGTACAGAGATAAGAGACAAATAACAGCTAGTTTCATCTGATTTTAAGGATCATGCCATTTAAATTTTTCTAAATTAGGACCATCATTTGTAATAACAGTACATTACACATTTTAATGTGTCTACAGCACTTCCACTGGTTGTCTAACAAGACACAACAATCAATGAGAGGCCAATCATGAACACTAGGTCTTTTAGTTTATGATTTAATTTATTATTTCAATCATTAAATCAAATCAAATTACATACTGTACTACTGATGCTGCAACCCAAAACGTGGCATCACAGCTTCTATTACTGATTGCTAGAAAATCTGCATTAGGGTATTTCTAATGTTACTTAATAACAATGGACAATATTCATGCAGTATGCAAAATATAGTTAAAAAGAAAATTTCTCAATGATGAAACTTTTTTACCCTTCTTGCCCAAAGTCTAAAGTAAATTTGCGTAGCTTATCCAGATCCTCGTCATTAACTGAGGGTTTAGAGTCTGCAAGAGAACGCAGCATGTCCCTCTGGGGAATTTGAAAAATTTAAATTAATAACAAATTCAATCGACAAATACTGAATTTTTGTTTTGCTTTTAGTGTAATGAAAGGATATAATGATTAAAGTAGCAACATATTCAATTATGCAGAAGACAATATTGTAATTTTACTAATGTCCTTTAAAAATATAATTAAATTGGGTCCTTTTTCATCTGAAATCATAAATTATGATCACAAATATAAACAAAATCCTCAAGACACTAAAATATAAAAACTACTTACCATTGATACAACAGGTTCTAAGAGCTTGTCACCAGGTATCTGTTCCCAAGTCAGTTCCATAGCTCCTGCTTCCCCTGGAGAACAAGGTGTAAGCAGGTCATCTACCATAATATTTGGGTCATCACGTGAGTGGCCACGGGCATACTTAAAGTGGGTGGCAGTTTGAACCTTACGAACCGGTTGCATCAGGGCATCACGCACCACAATACTGATATCTGCTCCCGAGAACCTGCAAAGAATTTTATTCGTTTATCAATATGTAGGGAGCTTGATTAGGTTTTACAAACTAGACTAACTCTGTCATGAGGTCTTAAAGTTTCTGAATATTTAAAAAAAAAAAAATGGAGAGGGGCATTCAGTTATGCTCCCCAATATCTCATACATAAAAGGTACCTCTGATATTAAGGACCTAAATTAAAAATGGATTCATATTTAGGAATAAAACTAAATGTATGAAATATCTGTAGTATAATTTGTACTAACCATCAAAGGAGCTTGTGCAGTGCGTAATTGATTTATAGCATGAGGCTGGCCAGATATAAAAATTAATGTAAATCCTAGCTGGCATCTGTCTTTGGTTTCAATTTTGCCTCTGTTGACTTAGAAAAAGACAAGAGAGAGTTACATCCACACCAAGCATGCAATAACCTTAGCTGTATTCACTGACTCACCTTAGGCATTCACATCATTTATGAAATGCATCCAATGACTCATTTAATTAATTTTGCTTAATATTCTAAATTGAACTTTCTTCAAAGGATGATGATGGATATTGTGAGAAAAATACATTGTGGCATTTGTTCAGATGACAAAGGGGGTTGGGAGTAAACAAAATAATGATACTAATGACTCGCATGACAGGGTGGAATATTCCATCGTCTTGGCTGTGAGTTGTGACACACAGCTCCATTCATGCCTTGCATGATTGTATCATGTACATATTCTTAAGATAAATGACTATGTTTCCTGAAGTGCACATGTATACAATGGCATTCCACTATCAGTCTTACTTTTTCTTTAATATCAGTGGTTACTTCTACTGTATATTAAATAACATTAATTAACACATATTTTTTACATTAATTTTACTACAACAACAACCAAGGTCTTATTTTCTTCAGTTTCAGGTGGATAACTGACATTATGGGTGTAAACACTGACAACAATGCCGTCTCTTATCCTCCTGTGTGTTTCAATATTCTACGTTATTATTAATGAATTGTATTGTTCATTTCGCATATATAAAGATTAATTCAATCAAATACATATTCAGTCATAAACAATAATGAATCTTTTGTACATATTCTTAAAAAGATAAATGAAGCGGTTTCCTTAAATACGCACGTATATGTTGGCGTTCCCAATCCATCTCTATTTTTTTTCTTTGCCATTTGTGGTTAGCTACTTCTATTGTTCCATTTATTAACATTAAAAAACATTACTTAAAACATATATATTAATTTTACTCCAGCTACAACCAGGGTCTTATTTTCTTAATTTTCTCGTAAAGAACTATCGTCCCAGACTCCTGGCTGTAAACACAAAAGAAAAAACAATGGCGTCCCATCTCCACTTGTGACCATATTATTATTCATTTATATTGTATAAGGTGCATTCAGAAATATTATTTAAAGACTATAGTTTGCAATTTTCATTAATTGTATTGTTTTGGGGGGAAAAGAGGGTAAAAAGCCACACAAAAGATATGAAAAGGTCACACTTGGGAAAGCATCTCATTATTATTGCTTTATTTTAATGGTAATTAATGATTCGCAATACGATGATTCACCTTGCACTGCAATATTGGGGGACACATTAACGTCGTTATTCGAGGCTTTACTGTATATACGGTATATCAACATTTCTTATGTTTTATCATAAAAGAATCGAGTCCCCATCATTACATCTTCTCAAAATATTTTGTTTAAGGATCTTATATTAGAACCGTCTTGTAGAGAATTTATGCAGGATCATTATGGAATGAAATTCATCTCTATAACACAAGTAGAAGAGATGCTGTGAATAAAACGATCCACTTTTTCACTAGCCATAAATATCTTTGCTTGTGTCCATGGCTTAAATGTAATGGAGATCTTGGGGATGTGTTCTGGGAGGAGACCACCATAGTATAGTACAACACATTGGTTTATTGTAGTTACAGGTGCTCCTCTACTTATGAACGAGTTACGTTCCTGAGGCTTGTTTGTAAGTCCAACTTCACTTTTGTAGATACCAAACATATTGTAAAAAATAAAAAGATTATGGGTATTTAGTACAGCTATACCCTTTAATACAGACTTAAAACCTGGCTCACTCTTCTCCTCTTAGGTAATGTTTGTTCTATCTGGAATTTTCTTCAAAATAATCCAGTCTCATCCACATTAAACAGCTGTTCTGGCAGGTAATCCCCCTCAGTGATAATGTTTGTATCTCTGAAAGTTTGTAAGTTGAACGATAGCAAATAATTGGATAGTGTGTTGCTTTTTACTATGACCACCTTGTGCTATAAGGTAAAGGCTTATAAGACTGAATCACAAGCCATAGGTTAATATCTATGAAGTAAGCAGTTACTCACCCTTCTGTTTTAGACCCAAGGGTACGGAAGTCCTCTTCTGAGATACTGTGTGGTGTGTCATTCCCCAAGTTCAGCCTGAACATACTGGTGCGAGCATGACTCTCTGGCAGAGGAATGTAAATTCGTTTCTCAAACCTTCTCCTAATAGCTGAATCTAAGACCCATGGGATATTGGTGGCCCCCAAAACAAGTACTCCATCATTCTGGTTACCCACACCTGCAAAGTAGGTAAATGTATTCACCTGAAGTTAAGTAAAATACATTCTGAAAATTTGGAGAAATATACTGTATAGGGAACAGTGATGTGACTGATAAATGATATTCCAGCAATTTTTAGAGATTTAGAAAAAGAACATATCTTCTAACAAAACCTAAAAATTTGTAGTAAAAGTACAGTACTATACTGTGCTATGAATTTAACAAAATATAGTTATGATTTGTTAAAGCAGCGAGCTTCATTCTTCAAAAGGAAATAGCACCACTTCCAAAAAATCTCTACTGGTCTACATTAAAAATAACATTCCTGTACCATACAAATATGAAAAATGAAAAGATATTAACAAAATACAAAAGAATTAAGTTTACTGAAAGAAAAAAAATGACTTGCAGATGAACCAAAGGATACAAATTATATACAGTATTAACAAATAACAGCATACCAGAATATAAAATGGTTTACAATTTCCAGAAGATAAAACTTTCTACACACATGCTAAGTTCGTCAAACAGTTTATACAGGTATTTAAGCACTCCCTAACTCAGTTGTGTAGGAAAATCAGAATTATGAACCAAGAAACAAAGCCGTCACATTTATTTACCCATTTAAGAAACTAACCTTGCATTTGAACGAGGAACTCGGTCTTAATTCTTCGGGCTGACTCAGACTCTTGCTCTGACCTTGATGCACAAAGTGAATCAACCTCATCAATAAATATAATCGAGGGCTTTTGTTCACGTGCCATTTCAAATAGTGTTTTGACATGCTGCTCTGATTCACCCAGCCATTTTGACACCAGATCTGCTGAGGACACACTGAAGAATGTGGAGTTGTTGGCTTCTGTGGCAACAGCTTTGGCTAGGTAAGTTTTACCTGTTCCTGGGGGCTATTCAGAAGTAAGAATAAGGAAGATGACACCGGTACCTAAACTTCACTTTCATATTTCTGCCTGATATCCCTGACCTACATTCTAAAGTTCCTCTATCCTTGGCATCAGCAAAATTGAATTGTAAGGGATAATAAGAAAAGATAACATATGAGAAATATGATGTAAGATTAGTCGCAAGGATAAATAACTTGTTAGTAGATATAGGAGATGCTCACGCATGTTTGTAACTGGAAAAGCATGTACTGTAGCATGAAAAAAAGGGAAATGGGATAGAAGGATGGATCATGGTGAATTGAGAAGAAAGTGTGTAGGAACAGTAAAATGGAAGGGAAATAAGAAACAAGGATTCATCACAGTAGAATGACAAGATGAAAAACACCATTTGGTATGAAGCCGCACAAGGGCGAAGGAATATGAAACAGGCCTTTCCATATAATTTAATTTAAGTAAAGTGAAGCTACGGAATCCAAACTTTTACAGAAGCAACTTTACAAGCATGGAAAATAACTGTACTGTACAATGATGGTGATGACTATTGAAAATCACACATATGGAAGATGTAATGGTGGGTTATTTTTAAAAAATACAAAGTGGAATTGACTAGACACTAGAGGATTTGAGCAATGGATGTGAGCTCTACAAAAGCACTTTGGTTATGGACATCAAGAAAGAAAGATGGTATGTAAGAGCATTTCAAAGTCCCTGGCTATACAGTGGGTTGAATGGTTCAAGAAATATGAGAGATGATTCTCAGGAATTTCATAAACTACATGTGATACATTACTCTGAAAAGAACTGATTACAGTCAGTCCCAGTTATCTGCTAGGGTCATGTCCTAACAAAATAGTGACAAATGTCTAAATGACTAATAGCGGGGAATATTTCCCGATAAGAATCATTAGAATAAATTCCCATTTGTCTCTCAACATCAATCATGTAACAAAAAGGGGTGAATTTTCTGTCATAAGAAGAAATGTAAATAGAGGGGGTTACATCCCATTGGTATGAATATACTGACTATTAGTTAGTGTGTGTTACCTTAAATCCCATTCTGGATTAACCTAACAGCTGCCATTAGGTAATCGCAGTTTGCAAATGTGGTAAATGGCTGTAAAATGTTGGTAATGATGACGGAAGGAATATTCAAGTATGTACCTTATGTTTTGTGCACTATGGCAAGAAAAGTAAGTCCTCGCTTAATGTCGGCCCGCTTAACGCTGTTTCGGTACTACATCGCTTAACTTTAGAAACCAAAAATTTGTTTAATGTCACGGTGACTCGGTACAACGTCGTTTTGCGTTGTCATGGAATACTTTTTACGGAGCATCACCCTCTCTCGTCTGGCCGCGGAATGTCACGGCGTCCCCAAGCGACGCCAGTCTTTGTTAGACTTCCAAAGTGTTCGTGAGTGTTTAAGTGTTTTTGCTCTTAATACTTTACCGTAACCATTAGAAATGGCTTCCAAGCGCCCTTCAAGTGCTACTGATGCTAGTGTTGTGAAGAAGCAACGCAAGACCATTAGCCTTACTACGAAAATGGAGGTCATTTCCTCGTGTGTTTTAATATTCTACGTACTGTATTATTAATGAATTGTATTGCTCATTTTGCACACAAACATTAATTCAATAAAAACGACATTCAGTAATAAATAATAATGAATCTTTTGTACATAAGAGAAATGACGCTGTTTACACGATTATGCACGTCGTCTGCACATTGGCGGGCTGTTCAAACCCGTCAAAATTCAGGTTTCCGCCGTCAAAATTTTTATTTATTTATTTTTTTTGTGTGTTCCAATAAAATACGTTAAGAATTAAAAACTCACGAAATTTGAGAAGCTACTATATGACATTTAACCCTTCAATATGTCTTCAAAGAGACCATGATGCAGAGAAAGTGGTGCTACAGTAGTGCTTCCAAGCATAAGCACAAATCACTATCTATCCAGGAAAAGGGTGAATTTCCATGGTCCGGCACCGGTCAGGTCCCGAGGTTGCCAGACTAGAGAGGTACAACCTGTAATTTGCTCATAAAATGAAATTGGAAAAATTGAAACTGCAATTCATGAATATGCAATAAACAAGAACGACCTGTAACTACTGTACTTTCAAACTTACATATTAGGTACTGTGTAGGAGACTGACATACAGTACAGTACCCGTATTAGTATTTTCCTGCCAGTGGTTAAATATGGAAATCGTATGCACTTGCTAGTGAGAGCATGACAGCTCTACTGATCATGCTCACAATTCATAACTACCCACAAATGAGTACAAAGTCCCAAGAGAACTTACCCCAAACAACAAAATTCCCCTCCACGCTGTTCTCTTGCCAGTGAACATGTGGGGAAATTTTATGGGTAAAATCACAGCTTCTTTTAGTGCTGTCTTAGCTCCCTCTAGTCCAGCCACATCATCCCATCGCACATTGGGCTTCTCAGCTACAATAGCCCCCTCAAGTCTGGTTTCCATTTTCTTTCTTGCTGGGTCTGAATCATCGTCTGAATCTGACTCTTTACTTCCCCTTTTCCTGTATAAATCAATAATAATGAATGATACAGAAGACATTTAAACATAGGTGTACCAAGAAACTAATGATGCTTTGCTGAAGGCACCCATTTTTTCCACCCCTTCCTTTCAAGACTCAATTTCTATTAAAATCTCTCAAGTGCTCAGAAATTATATTCATTATAGGCCTGCCTAAAAACTGAACTAAGACAACAATGCATTTTATACAAGTTCAGTAATTAGTGGAAATAAACATAATAGTACAAACACTGGAAATTAGAATACTGTTATGAAATTTTCCATTCATCTTGGAAAACAATCAATGAGTAATGGTAAACTATTTTCTAGTTATTTCCCAATAAAAGAATATAAACCATCTATAAACAAGACAGGGATTTTGCTACTCTTGGGAAATTGAAATAGCCACTGAAGATAGTGCATCCCCTTTTGACTGCTGAAAATGGCAACCACTCTAAAACCACCTGGACTAGCAAGAAGCATAACAAACCTAATTATTGCACCAGCATCATCACAATGTGAAGGGAAAATGTTAAACACCAACCCCAAAGTAACAAAAAATATGTCATTACTGTATGAGCAGTTACTCACCCAGAATTTCCTTCTCCAGTCTTCACTGGCTTTTTTTTATCCTTGTTTTTGTCAATGTATTCTTTCAGTTTTTCTGCTCGATCTAGGTACTGTTTGCATTTGCCTCGGATGCTCTCTCTTGCCCTTTCATTCGGGACTTCATCTGGTAACAGTGAATATATTTTTCAATATTAGAATACATGTACTATAAGGTTAAAAATTATTTTCCTCAAATATGAAAATAAGAGAGCTTAGCTGGAGTAGCAAGCAAATGGGAATTCTGCTATCAGATGTTTAAAAATGAGAAGACTACATACAGTAAGTACTGTACAGTATTACATTTTCACAACTCTTCCTAAAAAGCCACAAAGAGCATTACATCTTGTAAAGATATTCTTAATATTAGTTTATAAAAAAGTTTCTCCTTGAGTTACTTACATTTCATAGCATGAAGGAAATATTCCACAGCTGATTCATATAGTCGCAGTGCTTCTCCATAGTTCTTGTTTTTGTCTTCTTCTGTGGCTTTTGTGACTAAGTCAATTGCTTTCTGAAATATACACAAGAGAAAAAAATCTTTAAATAATGACTAAACATTCATATAAAATTCCTTATCATTATAAGACACTTCTAGTACTAAAATTTGTTGTATGTGATACTTGATAATCAACTGTACTGCAGTCACTTTGTCAGTGAGGGAGAGAATGGGATGGATAATATTAATTTTTAATGGTAAACTAAGGAACCATTTTCTAGTACCATCACCATTTCCATGGCCTTCACATAACTGAGGAAGTTTCTCCACAGAAAATAAAAGCTTTCTTGTCTCTTGAAAAGGACAAAAAGTAAATGAGGAAAACGTTTTATGTTGTATCACTTATACAATTATTTATATCTGACAGAAGAAGGCATCAAATTTCCCCACACAGTACTGTATTGATTTCTGTTTTGTGTTATCTTTGGAGTTCTACCATAAGAACTGTATGTTAAGTGTCTACAGTACTTGTAATTGTTGTTCATACTCATACAGTACTGCATTTTATTGTACATGTGATGATTTCCCAATACAGTAAATTCAATCAATAACTGGTTAGGTTTGTTCATTTATGAACAATATTATTAAAACATAACAGTATCTTGTACTTCCAGAGTGTCAAATTAGTGGCACACTCCAGAACTAGCAAATATTCCTACATTCAATAATTTTCCAAACCTAATCTAACCTACCAAACCTAATCTGATCTACCTGACCTAAGACACTACTAATATATTTAATTTTCAAGAAAATAAAAATTATATTGAATTTTGAAGACACTATTACAATTGTGTTAAACTGCAAATACAGTATTCCTGAAATTGCAGATACTGCTACAATCCAACATGGCTGATCGACATGTCATTGTCACCTCCATATAAGATCCAAGATCGAAAAAATCTTAAGTGATATTGCACAAAACATATTAATCAAGATTTTTTTTTCATTTCCAAGAGGTAAGACAACGGAAGTTGGCACTAAGAGTGCACTGTAGTCGTCATGTATATATTACCGAAAATGGTTGGCTTCTGGGAACCGGAGGATGGATCTAGAGTGGACACCCGAGATAACAGTCCTTGGGCATCTGTGTGTTTATTTTTAGAAACGAAAATGCTTGTTAGCCTAAAGAAATGGCATAGTTCAAAACCTATCCTTATATCTATTTCTACTGCACCTTCACTATGTCCTATCTTAACCTATAACATAGCAGCTCCTCCATCATGGCAAAGGAAGAAAAATTTTTACCCCAAATAAAGTAATACATAACCTTCGTGGATATGAGATTATGGCATCACATGAGAAAACTAATTCAAGTGGTTCACCATAATACACAACCTTTCGTCAACAATACTCAACAGTATGGTACCACTTCCTTCCAGTTAACTTATCATTTCACAAATTAATAATGACTGTACTTGGCTGGTATAGAGCTCTAAGTAACCTTTAAAACCAGTTTCTTTATTCAAAGAAAGCAGCTCTTAATTTTGTAACACGAACAAAAGTTAAATAATCTTCACTTATAGAGGTGATTGTTGTTCACTCTTGAGCCTAGACATGCAGATAACATAAATACAGTGCATCAAATAACGTAACATTATTCCAACTTTTTTTTATAAAGAAGCCTATGGCTAATTTGCATCGTAGACTCTGACCTGACATGTATAGCTTTAAATAATAGAACTAAAATAAATGGCATTCCGAAGCTCAATCAGTCGAGAAGAGGAATAAGCATAAGCCAACCAGGGAACTCACATTATTCCCTAGCGCCTTTTAAGTTCTCATAATTGATAATACACATTACAGATAAACATGACATACATATTTGTTTCGGAGTTTACATTTACCTGCAATGCAGAAGTAGAGGCCATATCTACACCCTTTTCCGTGCTAGCCGAGACCTGAATCACTCGTTTCAGATATAAACATTAAGATGGAAAAATAAGTGGGAATGTAACTTATATCTATAAACAGAAAAACATCGTATTATTCCTTTTAATCCGCAAATTTTGTAGTATTTTGATATTATGTAGTATTAAATACCTTTAGTATTTGGATTTATTTTACTTATAGTTTTGGTAAACACTGGCCTGTGACGTAGGTGACGTCAGAATCACGAGTAACGCGGGAACTTTAACTATTTTGTCCGGTCAGACTTATTACCCAAATGTAGCCGCAATGACGTCAAATAATGGTCCTAGATGAATAAATCGGACTGCCAATCACTTCTCGACTAGTATTTGGTGTCACAAAGTAAAAAAAAATTGGTAAACTTAATTTAATCTGAGCTAATAGATCAAGTGCATGTACCTAACCTAATTTAACCTAACCTAACACAACACAACTCAGATTAAATTAGGTTTTCCATTTTTTTTTTACTTTGTGACACCAAATACTAGTCGAGAAGTGATTGGCAGTCCGATTTATTCATCTAGGACCATTATTTGACGTCATTGCGGCTACATTTAGGTAATAAGTCTGACCAGTGTAACTTCAAGAAAACGCTTTTTTTTAATTTCGTGATTCTCAACAAGGAGGTTGAAAAAACACATTTTCTTAGCGTTCCACAAAATAAGATTATATCCATTGCACTAATCATCAAATATTAAGCAAAATGAGACCACCAATAAAGGGAAGAATAATACTATAATACAATGGTATGTAAAGCTTTATTAACATGCCGTAAACATTGTCTCCCAATACTCCTTTTGCCTGTTGCCTCAATAGTTTTGTGTAATGTAGTTAAACTGACTGAAAAAATTATGATTTCAGAATGTATATAAAGTATTTTGGTTATTGTAAACTATTATAAACTGCTTGATCTGGTGTGAATGGTGTTATCTATTTTTTTCCATACCAAAACACTGAAGACAGTATACGACTACTCGGACACTGTTAACTATGGCGATGGAAGGGGAGGAACATCTGTCAAACGATCTACAAAAACCCGATGACACAGATTTAGTGAAGCAGTTAGACTTACAACTTGAAGAGGTATGAAATTAGCGATATATTTTTTTTCATAAATAATTGATATGTCTATAAATCTGCATTTTATTCAATGATGATCACTTCGGCTATCCTTGGTTAAATCTACTGGTTGTTTATCATTGTACACCTGCATTGTCTGTGCACTGTCTTTGTGAGCTGTTTGCATATAGTACTGTACTGCACACTATACCTGCACTATGCACCGTATATCTGCACTGTCTTTATGCAGTTTGTATACCTCCACTCTCTGTGCACTGATGGTATACCTGCACTGTTTTATGGTAAAGGTTGAGGAGACAGTTAGTACCAGAAAAAAAAATGAATTGAACCAAAATTTCTGGATACTGTACCATTTGCATGATATTGAACATGAAAATGGAAACAAGAATATACAGAACCTAACAGAACCTGACCTAACCATCTTCGTATTATTATCGTTTCGGTCATCCAACATGTGTGTGTGCAGATATATTTACGCCATCCGGATATAGGTTAGCCGACTGGGTTAGAATAGGTTACGTTAGGTTTGGTTGCATTTGAGAAGCAGTGCTGTGACTGGTTTTTGCCAGTTAAGTGAGGTGAGGTGAGGTGAGGTGAGGTGAAGTGGATGACGAAAACGATAATTTGGTAAAGTTTTACGAAACCACTTTCACCAGAAGGAAATGTGTGATTTGGTTTAAATTTTTTGTACACACTATTAGCGTGATATTAAACACAAAAATGGAAACGATAATGAATAGAACCTACTAGAACCTGACTTAACAATTCTATTAGGTCACTTTCTAGTAGGTACTATGCATTATCGTGTTCATGTGTGTGTTTAATATTATGCTAATAGTGCGTAAAAAAAAATGCACTAAGCAAAAGAACCTAGGAAACCCTACCTAACGATTGTCACGAACGAAATTAACCCTAAACAAGCGACTTACCTTAATAATGGGCTACCAAAGTAAGCAAAAGAACCTAGAGCACTCTACCTAACTATTGTCACGAACGAGCTTGAACAAGGCCTGATACTTCGCGATAAGAATAATCACAACCACCGCAGGTCCACATGATGTAGACAAGACGCTCTAACACGTAATCATCACGTGATGTACCCTCCCCTTGGGGGAACCGTATAAGTGTGAGGAGACACAGTTCATAGAGAATTGTGATGAATGTTAACGGCATAGAAAAGGATGACAAGAGAATCGAATCAGTCTAAAAGATCGTGTAAAAGTATAAATAAGGCACAGTTACTTCATTTATTGCTTGACAATAAAAAAGAAAATCTATAAATGATATAAAGAGAACAGAAAATGCATTTAATAAATAAACAAAAGAAGAATAAGTAGGTATATACTGTACATAATTCTAAACTTAATAAAGATGCATAATTATTTTATTAAAAGTATCAGGAGTAATGGAACACAATTTATACAATTCGAGAGGAAGGAGCAATCTCGGCAGGATGGGATTTGTGAAGCTGGACTGACTGACAGTAAGAAAATGATTTTGGCGTTTAAAATGCACCTAGAGGCATAATTTTAAGGCCACAGCATCAGTGTTCACTGTGTTTTCACCCTGTAATTTCCCTCATCTTTCATGCCCTGCCCACTAACAAGGAATTTAAGATCGTAGGATAGTGTAAGTAATTAAAAAATTTCCTAAACAATACAAAAAATTCTAATAGAAAGTTGTCGTTTCTTTTAATATACAGTTAATCCTCGACTTACGACTGGGTTAGGGACCGACGACCAGGTCGTAAGTCGAAAATGCGAAAATAATACAAAGAAAATCTGAATTGGGTGTCTCATTTTCTTTTCAGCACCATGAGAACTCTCACTTTTACGCTTGCCAGCCATTTTAAAGGGAATTACAAACGTAAATTTTGTCAGTACACAGCGCGATCACTAACAACAATGACGGCCAAACACCAACTGAGCGGGCTACGGCGTGGATGCTGTACACCACGAGGCGGCCCAGCCCACGCTGTCATACGGGACGGAAACGTTTTGGTACTAGGAAATACGTAATTTGAAAAATATTTTATACGACTGCGGCGGTCGTATGTCCGGGTGGTCGTAAGTCGAGAGTACCTGTATGTAACTTTCTTAATTTATTTTTACTCATTTACATGCACACACCACCCTAAATATATATTATGAAAAAAGTAAAAGAAATTATTGTCCTCAGGGCAAACCTATAATCAAATGTACAAAGTTAATTACTAAAAATTTTATGTCTAGTGCAAACTATGGGATTTTTTTTTACTTAAATTAATCACTATCTTACACGAATTACAGCAATGCAGGTTATATACTGCCAAGTCAATTCAGTGACATCTCACAAGGGAAAAACTTAAACCCTCTCTATTTGATAACTACTGTACCACTTTGTTATTTGCCCTCCCTGACAGCTGTCAACACCTCCATAAAAACAAAACAAAAAACCTCTGCCTCCCTCTTCCTCACAGCCAGAGTGAAGGCAGTTTTAGGCTTAAAGTTTTTATCTTATAAAATGTAGCCGACTTGACTTTGCCGAATATAAATTGCATTGCTGGAATCCTTGTAAGATGTGATTAATTTGAGTATAAATTTTATTCAGTTTGTACTTTTGAGTTTAAAGTGTGTAGAGTAATGTTGCGAAAAATGATGGCTTTTTCACATTTAATTTACATTTAATATTTGTTTAATTTAAGTTTCTAGCAGTCCATGGTGCTTTAGAGACACGAAGGTGTATAATTAGTGGGTCAGAGGTGTATTGTTGAATTATTATTACCTGACCTCGGTTGGTCCGGCAAAATGGATAATCCGGCAAGGCTTTAGGACCAAGGGTGCCGGAAAATCGGTGGTGGACCTGTATTTCTTTTTCACTGTCAGTTCTCTTCTGCATTTTGAACACTTGCACATCTTTGCAACTAGTCCATGTTGACAGATGAACTCTTGGAGATGGACTTCATCCTCCACAAGCACAGATAACTTGTGATATGATAGTACTGAACATGATGTGATAAGAATGCCATTGAAAAAAATATGGCTTCTCCCTCAGTCCTCTTCCTTGAGGAAGAACAATAAGTATATGAACATACAGTTAACTTATTAACCAATGCTGCTCTTAAGGTACAGTACAGGTATTGGAAATGAATCCAAACCCATAATATGAGTTTAGATTCCAACAATATGATCCTCATCATTTAAAATAAAATAGATTTGAGAACCTATTGTACGGAAAGAAACAAATACAGTAGTGTACAGTCTCTCCTCGACTTACGACATATTCGACTTACCACAACCCGGACATACGACGGCCATGGTCGTATAAAATATTTTTCACATTACGTATTTTCGAGTCCCGACGTTAGTGATCGCCCTGTGTACCGACAGCATTTTTGTTTGTAATTCCCTTTAAAATGGCTGGCAAGCGTAAAAGTGAGAGTTCTCGTGGTGCTGAGAAGAAAAAGAGTACACCCATTTTAGAATTTCTATGTATTATTTTCGCTTTTTCGACTTACGACCTGGTCGTCGGGACAGAACCCTGTCGTAAGTCGAGGAGAGACTGTGTATGGAATGTGCACAAGTCATATAGACTCACGACCCTGGATAGTGAAGGCTAAAACACCCCCAAAACATTCAAGCATATATTTAAGGTACTAAAACCCCCAATATGAGGCTCCACCATTCATTGACAGTTTAAGCAAGACTGGAATCAGAATTTATTAGTTTACGATTGAAGGACAACATCTGCCGACAGGCCAGAAATATTGGCGGAATATTTACGGCATATGTAGTATATTAAATTTCTTCACGTACAAAACATGTAGAGACTTGATTTATGTGTTGTATGATTAGTTTTTCACCATGACTTTACCTTGCAATTTCCTACATTGTCCATGTCCTACCAACTACAGGTGATTTATGATTGTAGATTTAGAAAAAGGGGAAAATACTTCTAATTACTGTAAAATAAAAAGTTGTATCGATTTTATTACTTAGTATCTTCCAAAGAACAACTGTGGAAAATATAAACGAAATATATAAACACGTTTACTCTTTAGGTTAGTTAATATCCATCCTTGGAATTTCAATCTAAGCATTTTAGTATTCTCTGGGTTTCTGTCTGAGAAATTCCATGCCTAACTACTGCCATGCTCGGTGTTTCTGTTCAAGTACAATTACAGTACTGTACTATTGATCATGATCTTTTTCATTATTTATTAACTTACTATATTTAAGATTCGGAAGGTTGACGGTGGAATTTCATATTTATGTTTACGATAAATAGGGAGATAGAGCTAAAAAACAACAACTTTATTCTATTGTGTTTCCATCACAAATATATATTTTTTGAGTATTTTGGACTTTGATTTCACTCAAGAACTTAGATTTTGGCGGGAGACACTGTTTTCCACCATTGCAAGATAGCATAGGATGGCCAGAATCAAAAGCAACAAAATTTCTCTTCATTCACTGGCAGCTACGGTATTCTCTCTGTTTTTGTAACAGTCTCGTATGTTCTGCTATGGTGATCCTTTGCCATAATTCAGTCTGGTTCACCCCTTTTACATTAAACATGCCAGCATCACTCAATGACTACACATTTATCTCAATGAGCCACTTAACAAAATGCTGTCTAGTTACACATGGACATCTCTCTCCGTACTGGCAGTAATACTAATATGTTTCCTGCAGCTTGATGATGATGAATTCCAGCTGCCTCCTGTTGGTGAGTTGCCAACGCTTGAGAGTATATTAAGTGAGAACGACCCAGGGAGTGTGTCCGATGATGACCTCGCAATTCCTCCCCCCCCTCAGCCTAAGGTTAGTGTGATTACTGCAGTATTATGTTAATTTCTTTCCATATTTCCTACTGTACTGTACTGTATACTTAGAAGTTATTATGATTAGTGTAAGAAAAATAATATGACTCAATTTAGTATGCATAGTGAACCGATATTAAGCATAGTAAATCAATTTGTAGGATAAGCCTTAACTGTCAAGGGCTCATTTATGAGCTTCATATGTAAATTGGGCATTTGAAGATTGTGTGTGAGGGCACAACCTTAAGTTAAAGAAACTGTCGGTACAGAAAACTGTCAGAGCTAACTGGAGTAAAGTTGTGAAGTCTTGGAATAACCTGCCAGAGAATATTGAGACAGCAACAAGTGAGAGCTCTTTTAAATCCAGACTTGGCCAATACTGAAACATATTCAGGTACAATTAGGACCCTGCACATGCCCAGTACTGTGCTGGTACCTGCTAATGTTGTGTAACAGAGAATTGGCTCCTCACCTGACTAGCTACTGTAGCAAGCTGTTAAATAGCTAAGTGGATAAAGTAAAGTAAAGTGTGGAGATTTATTACTTGATGTTTCAGTCCTCCCTTTTTGCTGTACAGTATTTATTTATATTCATCCTGTCATATCACTGACTGAAACATTTTTAAGAAATTTGTGTTTAAACTAATCGGTACACGTGATCTTGGTTTTCAAGAAAATTACCGTACTATATTGCAGACCTCATTTTCCACTGAAGGGGGAGACACGCTGTCTGTACATTCCCGGGGCAGTTCAGATTCAAGGAGTCGTACATCATCAACAGAGAGGCACAGCTCTGGGGGTAGATCTCGGAGGGACACACTGAGTAAAACCCATGGCTCAGTTTTACGCCATGTTGTACTCAAGGGTGTGGCAGCTCAACTGGTATCTGCACACGTGAGGATCAATTATGATTTCATTTGCACATCTCATCCCATTAAGAATTTTGATTTTATTGGTTCTTCCAAGGCAAATACATGTACAATATTATCAATACGTATATAATATTGTATTGTTATTCTTTTGTATTGTACTTTTGTTGTTTGATATGTCTTAATTTTGGTGATATTTTATACAATTCTTGCTTGATTGAAATACTGTAGTTTTCAATCTGGACAAATAAGCATAGAATCTTTTTCCAGTGCAAACACAAGTAAGTTGTTTTTCCTCAGGATCGAGTTGGTGCGGGCTTGCCTACCACAATGGCAGTGGGCAACATCATCTGTGTTGGCACCAGTCATGGGCTTGTTCTAGTCTTTGAGCCAACACAAGCTCTAAAGTTTTGTTTAGGATCCACACAGGTAAACAGACTTGAAATGCATATATTGTTTGATGTTCATAAAATGGTAAATCCACAAGAGTGATGTAATAAATGTGTGTAGCTCCTCGATTCATTGCTTCTTTAGATCTGTTGATAATTTTCTTATGCTTGTACAGGTGCAGACAAAATTCCCTGAACACTTGGCAGTATCTGGCATCTACTGTTGGGTCATATATATGTTTGGTTTACCAGTACAGGTATCCCCCAATTTACGATATTTCGCATTAACGATGTTGATGTTTTAAGTCCACCTCCCTATTTACGATAAAAAAAAAATTCTCATGAATGATGGTCATCATCCGGCCAAACTCGCTGATGCACAGAATACTGTACAGTATCTCTTGTTTAACAGTTGGGATGCCTTCCTGAAAAACCCATCATTAGTACAAAATGATCGATAAACGAGGGATGACAGGAAATAATATCCTAAACGAGGAATAATAATTGTGGAGATGGCACATACTGTAATTGTGTAGAAGAGTTTCCGACTCACCACCCAGTAGCACAGAGCAGGTGAGGCTGAGCTGTGAGCTATGTTATTGTTCAACACATAAATTTGGGTAGATATACTGTATGTAAGTTCTTAAATTTTTTTTTACTCTGCTGCATGCACACAATCGTTCACACAGAATGTGAACAAAAATATTTATCATAGGTGAAAAATGTAAAGGGAATAAACATTTCTTATGTGCACTAGAGTTAGCCCTCACAGCAGGGGAGGTGGGAGTGACATGGGGGATCTCTTAGCTGTTATCTGTCTTGTGTCCCGTGAAACGATTGCCAAACGGCAACGCAGAATCTTTTCTTTTCTTTTCTTTAAAATTATTTATTTTTATTAATTCCTCACATTTACTGGGATTGTGAAGTGCTTCGCCCTGTTTTTGTGACTGTGATGTGAGCAGTGTAACTTTGAAAATGTCTAGTAAGCTGTTGCTGATGGCTTCTGCATCTCGGTAGAGTAAGGCATTCAGAAAACTGTGTCTCGATTTGTATTGGGGTTTTCAGGAACTTGACCCCATCATAAATCGGGGGATATCTGTCCAGTATATTTTTAATAGCTAATATTGCTGTTCATCACATAGCTCTTGTGTTGGAACTGCAATATGGAAAAAACACTCCTTAAATAAAAAAAAATATGAGACAGTATGTTAAAATTCCAATCCCTCTCATTGAATGATCCTCAAGTATTAACATGCCAGATACTGCAAAGTGTCCAGGGAATTTTGTCTGCAACTGTACATAAGAAGGGCATTTAGTGTTAGTGACCAGTCATTTCTCCCCTGGTAATTTGATTTACAATATTTTCACTTCCATGCATGCTAAGAATCAGGGGATCAATACCTGTTTGGTAGGAAAAGAATTTGTTTGCATATATAAACAAAGCGTATAAGTGATAGGATACAGATACAGGCTGTTTGATGGTAGGATACAGATACAGACTGTTGAATTATTTAAATTGTTTATTACAGTTAGGTGAACAGTATGGCTCTGTATCGGCTTTGGCTCTGAATCAAGATTGTACGCGGCTCCTTGCTGGCTTTGCAAAGGGTCAGATCTGCCTCTTTGACCTAACATCTAGTAAGCTTCTGCAAACAATATCTGATGCTCACACTCCATTTACAGCAGTCTTGCACTTTAAGGTAAATTGTACAAGACTAGAAAGTTTTTTTTAGATGATGAAGAGGTTAAGGAGAGAGGCAGGGGCAATTCAGATTAATAATGTGGCAGGTAGAGAAAACGCAGCACAAAATCTTCAAGACGAGTTGAAAGAGCATTTGCAAATAAACAAATGCAAAGACAACCTCATTTCCCAATTGATGTGTAATTAAAATTTTGATAATTTTATGTTAGGCCTCATGATTCATTTTTTATTTTATTTGTACTCTCCCAATAGTCGGTAAAATTGTCATGCAGGCTTACAATTGGGTAGGCATGTACTGTATATAAATTATGCAGGTATACAGTCCAGGTGCTGTATGTAGGTCACGGGTGCATACAAATTCCTCTGTGTCTAGACAGTGCAGATTTACAACAATGTAAATGTTATAATAATGTGGTGAATTTACTTACCAGATTTTTGTTTTATTGATGCATGGTATGATTTATATTTCCTGTTATATTTCTCTCCAATTTTAGGAGGATGCAATGATATTGATAACTTTTTCTTAAACAGTGGACAGACTATCCAGGAATGGCTGTGATCAGTGACAGTGGAGGATCAGTCTTTGAATTGTCCATCAAGCGCACCATGGGACTTAACTCTAATGAGTCTCGCTGCATCTTTTCTGGCAGTCGGGGAGAAGTTTGTACCATAGAACCATTACTGATGTCACAATTTCGTGCTACTTCTCTCGTTGAGAATGTCATCTTGGCAATGGCTACTATATCTAAGGTCAGAATTTGCAACGTTGTTTGTGTGTGTGTGTGTGTGTGTGTGTGTGTGTGCGTGCGTGCGTGCGTATGCATATACATACATACACACATATATATATATATATATATATATATATATATATATATATATATATATATATATATATATATATATATATATATATATATATATATATATATATATATATATATATATATATATATATATATATATATATATATATATATATATATATATATATATATATATATATATATACAGTATATATATATTCTTGAAAATTCAGAGAAAATTTTACCGGTACCCAGAAAATTCTGGGGATGGGGTATTTTTTTCTCCAGTTTTGAGAGTTTTTCAGTGCAGTACATAGTAAAGAAATCTGCATTTCTTCATGTATTTTAGTATGTAACAAAAGTTATTCTTTCAGGTCATTGTTGTTTCACTACGGCCACAGCTCAAAGTCTTGTTCTCACATCCACTGAAAGCTTCCTCCTCAACACTTCCTCTCTTGGCTTGGCAGTTTGTAGTGATACAGATGCCAGACGGGACGAGAGTTATTGATCCTGTATTAGCATTTGGACGAGAAAAAAATGTCTACTTCTATCAGGTAACTTCAGGTTGTAATACTTTTGTTTACATTGAATTTTAGCCTGTCCTATTTACTACAGCCTCAGCATACTATTATCTTACCATATACTGTATATTATAGTCTCATTTTTGTGGAAATTATCATTAGGCCCAGCTGAGGGCTGTTACCCATCACACATGTACTCTACACTAATAATGGAGCTTACACTTATAGTTTGTGTAAACGTTTAGAGTTTCTGTGGGAGATATACACTGTATTTCACTAGAGAAGACTTAATGTGTTTGTAACTACAAATTTTAGTACAGGAGGCCCCCCAAATTTACCGATTTTTATTTTGCGGTCCTCTATTATATGCAGATGACACTGGATGTACCCAAGAATGTCTGTGGGTAGTTTTAATTGTTGCCGTCATTTTCGCTGCTGGGACAGGGAGCCATTCATTCTAGAGACAGTAATTTCCTTTACCTGTATTGTAAATATGTGTGTGTGTAGACATACACATATATACAATGCAATACATATATTCAATCAGAAACAAATTTATTAAAAATGTGACAGTCTACACACACATATATACAATACAATACATATATATAATGAGAAAAGAATTATAAAAAAACGTTACAGTCTACCCTCAAGTCCATGCTTTAATAAATAGACCACAGACTTGAGGGTAGACTGTCACATTTGTAATAAATTTGTTTCTGATTATTTGTGAGATTATTTTCCCATTATTATTTGTACAGTATGTGTGTGAGTATGTGTCTACACACACACACACACACACACACACACACACACACACACACACACACACACATACCTGTACATATATATACATACAATGCAAGTAAAAGAAATAATTGTCCAAAAGGCAAACATATAAAGGGAATACAGTATACATTTCTTTGTACACATGTAAAAATGCCCCCACCCAGGTCAGCAAATGTTATTCGTGGGTTTGGCGATTCGCGGCCATTTTGAGAACCTAACCCCCGTGAATTTGGGGAGCCCCCTGTACAGCACTTTTATCACCTATGATTCTATGACTTCACTAAACTATATATGTAATTTTCAGCTTACCCATGGTAGTCAAGAGGAGCTTCAGTTTATACCACTACAGAAAATGAGTTTGTCATTTGTAGTTCAGGGAATGGCGTGGCTTAACTCCCGTACCCTAGCTGTCATGGACACTCGAGAACACTTACATGTAATTGATGTAAAGACACAGGAAGAGCAGGAGATGGTGGATTTGGCTCATCTGGGGTTGGTTTATGCTTCACCACATTTTAAAGCTATTGCCACAGGTGGCAATGTCAGCAAAGCTATGGTGAGTTTCTAAAATACAATAGTATTGTATAATTCTTCTTTGAGGGGGCACTAGTCTGTGTCCTGTATGCCTCAAATGTGTCTTTTTTTCATTACTCTGTCAAGTTGTCTGTCCTGTTTTGACATTTAAGACCAGATGCATCAAATGAAAAAGAAGAACTAGTAATGTTTTTGTACCTATTCACATAACTACTATAGATATGATCACTCCTGTTTCAGGCTGTATGGAGCTGTTGTATTAGACTTGGGAAAATTCTCTTTCTTTAGATCCTCACTCTGGTTTCATTTAGGTCATGAACCATTACTGTGCAGACCTGTTATCCAAGATAGGAGATGTTCCTTTATAAAAGAAAGGTTGTTAACTTTTCTTCCTCTTCACTGATAGATCTTTCTGGTCTTTTGATGAAACTATAAAAACTTGTGTTGACCCTTCATTCTCTCTCTTCTCCAGACTAACTTTACTTTAGCAGCTTCTTCATATGATAAAGCTGCTTCTTGACATTTTCTTCTTTTTCAACTTCAATAGTAAGCTCATTTAAAAAAAACTCCCTAAAGCACTTCTCTCTTGACACAAGTAAGTCATATGGGCCTGTAGGCATCCTTCTACATATTCTGAGGGAGTGTATCTCTTGGTTTGTGCCAATGCTTATTCATCTGTTTTGTTTTTTGTTTGTAAACCCAAACATTTCCTACATCTTGAAAACATTTGTTTAGCTCATCCCAGCAAAGGGTAACCATCCTTATCATTCATGTTCAGCAGTTCAGACTTTAATTGTCTCTTTGAGTCATTGAATATCTCTTAAACTCTTTTTTTCCTTGAGCATCTTTAATTTCTTACCTTTCTCTCACATCACCTCTTTGATTTCTAACTACCGTAAAGCTCTCTCTGAGACTTTTCTTGGTTGTCCCATATCCTTTGATGGTTCTGTAATTTTTCTAATGAACACAATAAATATTCTTGGCATTAGGGTAACCTCTAACCTATCGAAGAAACCTCAATAACTCAGAAAGCCAAATCTTCCGCTAAAAGACTATAATTTTTTTTTCAAATATAAAACAGAGTAAGGTTCAATAGCACTGACTCAGAAGCCACCGCAGTCTGTATGATATATTGAGAAATATGGTATATTGTGAGATAACAAATCTTAAATTGTTTCTTTGCAGGCATTAGCAGGAGAGAGGGCTTGTTATCACTCAATGGTCAGCTTTGGGTCACAAGTGCTCCTCCTTGGTACCAAATCATTCCAGGTGAGTGAAGACATTGTTACATACAGTACTGTGAAAGAAATGACTGTCAACTTTACTTCAGTACATTACTTTTGCAATGTGCAGCAGGTATGTCAGCTGGGCTTCCATGGGAGCATGAACAAAATGTTGGGATTAAAGACCAACTTCCTCCTGGCCCCCATTTAAAAACTTTGGATTTGTCATTGAGATAAATTTGATTGAAAAATTTTTTGTAACAAGTATAGTGTATCCTTCACCATTTTAAGGTCACCACAGGAGAGAATGTATCTTTTCATAATATTGTATTCAGGTTTCTAAAAAGACAGTGTTTCAGTATAGGAACTGCTCTTGTTCATCCATGCACAAAATTGGTCACTTCACTGAATATGTCATCTCTTTCAGGAGATTGCCATCCCATAGCTAATATCAGGTGGTAGGGGAATTGGTATTTTTTGTATGAAGAGTAATGAGTTCTGTTTTTTTTCTCAGGTTGTGACAGTGCGATCATGGGTAGATCGTCTGGATTACCTAGTGAGGGGAAGACACACTCGGGAGGCCCTCCAGCTTGCCCTTGATATTTATCAGGACAAGGCCCAAGCTATTGTAGGACTCAAGCACAAGAAAGAAAAGAGACAACAGGTATATTTGCTTAAAGTTTAGATATACTGTAGTCTTTACTACCAGTGTTGTTTTCTTACTTGAGTGTATGAGGCAGTAGGTTGACCAGGTGGAAATCTTCTTGTGGGTAGGGAATGAATGAGTAAAAGTGAATGAAGGTGAGTTTTTGGTGCTTTTGATTTCTGTCACCTTGCAAATAGATCAAAAAGTGCTGAATTGAACCTAAGAGTACTGGAAGGAAAAGATAATAGGTGAATTGAAAACTGTGTAGATTGGATGGCTTTCCAGGAAACAGCATAGTGTTGAGTGATTTCTGAGGAAGAGTAAGCTGCAGATGTGTGATTCTAGGTTGTGTGAAGACTTTGGGGGTAAACTTGATAGACATCTTGGGTCTTGATGTAGAAGGGCAACACCATAGCTGAACAAATCTTTGACAGATCTTTAAGGGAAAATCTGTGCCTATGGAAAAAGTCTTGAAAGAGCAAAAAAAGACATTTATAAGTGTGTTTAGGTGATTAGTGTAGTAATTTATAATTTAATGTACAGGTACTCCTCGACTTACGACCTACTCAACTTACGACCTACTCAACTTACGACCACCCAGACATACGAACGCCTTAGTCGTACCAAAAATTTTTCAAATTACGTACAGTATTTTCGAGTCCCGACGTTAGTGATTGCGCTGTGTACTTACAAAATTTTTGTTTGTAATTCCCTTTAAAATGGCTGGCAAGCGTAAAAGTGAGAGTTTTGTGGTGCTGAGAAGAAAAAGAGACACTCATATTAGATTTTCTGTGTATTATTTTCGCATTTTCGACTTACGACCAATTCGACTTAGGACCTGGATTTGGGTCCCTAACCCCGCCATAAGTCGGGGACTGCCTGTACTGTATTATACTTTGAAAATACATGTACTGTTGTAAGAGTCCGTTTTTCTTACTTCAGATTTATTCTCTTTATTCTTCTTCATTCTATTCTTCAATACTTATAATCTTATTTAAAATATTTCTTATATTTATTCTCTTCTGTTATTATTCTTCTATACTTATATACTTATATTCTTGCTCATATCTCTCTTTTATATTAATATTTTCTGGTGTACATAGTTTAATAATTTCATATTCTGTCTTTCTCTCTAGAATATCTTGTTCTAGTTATATTCTAAACCATGGATTAGTCTGGGAACCATGTCATTCTTATTATAACACTTATTATACTTACAACGGTAGCCTGCCACCACCTAGACTTTTATTAGAATATAACATATCTTAGTGAACTGTTAGGTAGCGTGTTAGCGAGTTTATAGACACGTGAGTTAATAGTTATTTTCTGAAAACCAATGGGTAGAAGAAATAGAGCGGTGATACTTGTAGTTTACTTATCCAATATTTATTAACATATGGAGTGAACATGATGTTAATTAATTGCACTCAGACCAGACTGGACCACTTAGGTCTTACACATAGCAAAATCGATATTAATTTATTGATTGCAACATTACACACTCATTATATTACTTCATTGTCAGTACAGATGATTATATAACACACTCGACAAGATCCAAAATTAAGATATTATCAAACACATCCTGTTAGTTCAGAATGAACAACATGGCACTTTATCTAGCATTCAGTGGTAGTACACCTGGTTGGTGGACTCAACTCCTATATTTCTGCTAGTTAATCCCCAATCATAGATACCAATACTGCCCAATACATATAGCCAAGATCAATGGACCGGACATCAGTCACAAGACTGAGTCCACTGTTCGCGGGAGTTGTTTACACCGACAGCCGAAGCTCGCTCGCAAGGAGTGCCCGGGGGGTAGACTCGGTGCAGTGTCTCCGCACGGCGTTCCCTGGGTAATCTTGTCCTCGGATTTTTATTTCGCCATATTAAAGACATCCTTCAAGAACCATCTTGCCCATAGGCGGCTACCGAACCTCAGTAGTGGTGCCAACACAGACAGTGCCTGGAGATGCGTTGAGGAAGAGTCACGAACGTACTTATGTCTAACTCAAATACTGTATTCATATCTATACGTCTGGCAGCCATACAGACGACACTTACTTTACTCGAATTACTTGGCACATGATTACTTCACTATGTTAAAACATGAACACTGATACTCACAAAATCGACTAAGTTAAACTGACTTAACATGGCGGCGGGAAACAATCGTTCACATACCTGGAGATGCGTCGAGGAAGAATCACAAACGTGTGATTTTTCCTTGTGCATCCGTATATACGTGAGCCTGGGGTAGTTCTGGCTCACGCATACATACCAGAAAGGTTAATCTCACCAACAACAGAAATTCTATTCAACTCCTGTCGCTGTACATTCAACTATGAACGTCAATGTCACGGGTCAGGTTAATTTTCCAAGTCTATCCCTATAATCTAATCAGAGATTGAGTCTGTCAGGAAAAAGTGAAATGGACGTTAAACATGCACTAACAACTCTACTTACAGGAAACCACAAACCACAGCCAAGGAATTCTTCCTGAGAAGAACCGTTAGGTCTTGGAGATTTTGAGTTTGACAGAATCTTTTCAGGAGATTAATGACTTTCTAAAATAGACAACTGACACTAACTAAACTACAAACATCCGATTCTCTGATGTTTCGGCATCAAAATAATCTAACTTCAGTAGCACTTGGAAACTCATGGCTATCCCCAAGGACGATATAAGGATATGCCACTCAAACTGACAGACTCGACACTCACTTACTTTCAACATCACTCACAATGGATCTTGAATGTTCCAACTGTAATCAGACCTATCTAAGTTGCCTCAACATATGCAACCACAGTTGCAATTTCAAATTCTATGTCATTACTAAGAAATAACGAAGTCTCGGGTGCACTCTAAGATTGAGGGAAAACGGAGGACTCAGGCATCCTGAAGCGATGAAAAAACGGACTCCTCAGACGGGAGACTCAAATAAAGTAAGCATAGCTACATGTTTTGTGGGCTATTGAGCGTAATATGAATCGTCTGATTTTACGTTAACTGACGTGTACGACCGTGGTCATTACAAAGTACTTTAATAATTAAAAATGATTTTGTACAGGGTTTCTTCATGTCTCCTGGTGGTATGCTCAACACTTTTAATATTGTAATATATTTACATTTGTATACATAATAATAATTCTCCCATATTATTTAACCCTTCACTCAAGAATGGAAGAGGAGTACTGTACTGGTAAGAGAGAAGATAGAACATTAGACCCTTGATTTAAAGGACTTCTTTGTCTGTGGATTCTGTGTAACATGAATAATGTTAATCTATCATAGAAGACCTTTAACAGTTTTTAAGTCTTTGAAAGATTTTTGTGAATTTGGTAGTTGGTAATTTGATTTTGATATCCAGGAACCCTTATTCATATCTCCCATAAGTTAAGTTCAATATAAGTGAATTTAATATGTAAAAGATTCATCCAATTAACAATACTCTTTAATTTACAGCTGGTGCAAGAAAAGATATGTGAATTATTGAGCCAGTACCTAGACTCTGCCCTGGATGACCTGCCTGACCGTAGTAACTTGACATTACTCACACAGTCCTACACTCAGCTGGTCCCACTGTGTGTTCAGGTGGCTGTAGGAGCAAATTTGAAGGAGGTTCTCTTTGGACGAATTTGGGAAACCTTTAGTGAGGATGCAATATCCAAAGGTTAAGTTAGTTCAGTTTATTTTAATTTTTCCTACAACTTAACCCAGTGGCTAGAGCAATAGTAAATATATAATATTATATGCACTCACATTTTTTATTCATTTGTTGCCGTAAATTCATTCTTATTGGTCTAAAAGATGCTTCTGCTTTTGTAATTCCCTTAATGCAATAAGGACCCAAATCTGGTGGTGTAGTCTTGTCACTTCACACATGCTAGTATCACCCATTAGCGACATATTTTTCCACTAAACTCGCTTGATGTTATAGTCTTCACTCTTTTACACACATTGCTACCTCCTGGATGCCGATATCCCTCAATTCTAATACATCCTTCACCTCATCCTTCCTGCTCCTTGGTCTCTTCCTTTCCCTTCTGTCTTCCATCTCTGGATTATGCACTCTCTTTATTGATCATGAGCTACATCTTCTTTCAGTAGGGCTGTATCACCTGAGTAAATCTTAATCTACTCTGCTTAACATTTCTGCTGTATTTCCTTACTTCTCTCATTCTTATTGTCAACATCCTACAGTATTTACTCTACCTATTGCTCACATGTTTATAATTTTTAATTTTTCTCATTCCTCTTGCTTCACACCCATACAGTATTTAATAATGTTAACTTGTCGGTTCCCTGTACTTCCCAAACTTTGTCTCCTTTAACATGGTTTGCTCTCCCCTTGTATTGCTGAATCCCTCTACTGCATTACTTTCTTTCCTTCTCTGTGGTTCAGTTCATCATTCATCATTTCATTTGTTTACACATCCACTCCCAGTTATCTGAAAAACTCCACTTTCTCTATTCTGTTTCCATTCTCTACTTAGTTTTTTCAGTTTCAATCATATTCACTTTAAACTTTCCCTAAGGTCACATACTACCAAATTCATTCACTTATATTTGTAAAGTGTAATTTGATCTTTAGAGCAACAGCAGCTGACTCATTTCCAATTCACAAGGCATCACAGTACACATTCTTACTTTTACTGGGAACCAGTTTTCACTTCCCCAGTAAACTGTAACACATACCTGTACAGTATTTCAAAACTGGGCAGCATTCAGCAGTTTTTCTTTAAACTTCATCTAGTACTTTTTCTTAAGTCAATGTGAAGCAGCAATGTGGAGAATATAAATGCATTCACCCTGTCTAACTGTTCAACAGCATCTGATCCTGAGGTGGACAAACACTGTCACCACTTCATATATTTAGATATCTCATTTTTGATGAGAAAATTTTTTAATAGGTTTTACCAAGTACACTACTGGTAGTTCACTTAATATTTCATGAACATCAAAGATGTTTCAACAGCTTGAAAGCACAAGTTAGTGATTCCATCACTTGAAAATCTATCACTTCCTCTGGTGGCAATTTATGCTTAGCAACAAAGAAGAATGCAGTTAATTTTTGTAAATTCACTCGTATTGTGATTTTTAATGGGTTATTTGTTAGGGGCCATGGATATTTTCTGGCATTTTGAAGGTTTGAGCCACTTTTCTGTATGGTTTGGCAATACTGACGACTGTCAGCTGAAGTGATCAACTGACTTAAAAACCCCAGATGAAGTGATTTGGTTTTATTATGCGGGTTAGTGTGCAGCTCATGCTACAACAAGCTTTAATATTTTTTATAGGAGTAGACTACTTGTACAGATTTTTGCAGAGGGTAGTAATGGTTGATGGTCTGAAATGCAACCTTAAATTTTCCCATTACTTAATGGAAAAATTACAAATCTAATAAATAGTTAAACTATAAAGCTTTTCTATGTTTAATCATATCATTTGATATACAATTGATGCTATATAAGAGCTTCAGTATGATAAATTGGGGTAAAAATTGTAGTAATGGATGGGCTTGGTGTATAAATAAAGGAGTCATAAGAAATGGTCAAGGAATATGGCATATGGTGGAGTGTCATTATGAGCTACTCTGTTGTCTATGGAGAGAAATTATATGATACAAAGAATTACTGAAAATTTGAAAAAATTGAAGGTACCGACAGAATATACAAAAAGAGTTCTTGATAAATTGAGGGACATGATAATACATAGTGTGGTACAGTACTGTATAGGCAGACAGAGAAAACTGATGTGATGAAGAATAGGTGCTGTAGGGTGGACCACAGATGAAGTGGAAGGATAGATTAAGGTAGTTCAGCTGTGTGTAGAAAATTGGTACAGTAGTATTACAGAAATGTTAGATATTTCATGACAAAAGTGTGTAGATGAGATATTTCGAGGATCAGATTATTTAGTAAATTGTTATTTCAATTGTTGCTTATTTGTGTAAAATATGATGAAGGACCAGATAATAAGAAATTAAAATACTTTGTGTAGTTTGAGTTTTGTATTGTCTTATTGAATTATGTTTCAGGTTTACTGTTGTAATGATATACTCTTTTATGCTCTACAGGTATTTTTTTGGAAGCATTGGAGCCTTACATACTGAGTGATCAGTTAGCTGACATGTCACCAAGCATATCTCAGTGTCTACTTGCCCACCAAGAAATGTGTGGCAGGCTTCAGGCAGCAGAAGCCTGCATCGTCCACCTTAATGTAACCTCCGTTGATCTTCATCAGGCCATGACGCTGTGCTGGACTCATGGGTTATATGATGCAATATTTTATATATATACCCATGGCATGAGAGATTTTGTTACTCCTCTTGAGGAACTTGTGACAGTACTATGGAATGCTATGGATAGTGGAAATGCATTAACAGATGGTCAGGTGATGTTAGGAAACAAAATACTTGTATATGTGTCATGCTGCTTGGCAGGACGAGCTTACCCACATGGTAATATTGACCCCCAGGAATTACAACAAGTGAAGCATGAGATTTTTAAGTGTATTACATCATTACATTCAAAAAATGCTAAGGCCACTGAAAGTTCATATCCATTTCTGAGAACTTTATTACGATTTGACACTAGGGAATTCCTGAATGTGCTGGCTTTAGCATATGAGGAGGCAGAATTTACCTCAGAACTTGGGATGCAACAGAGACAACGAGTTGTGGACATTTTACTTCAGGTAGGTCATTCAGAGTTACAGTATCTAAGATGGTATAGATCTAATACCTGTATGTACACATTATAGATTTAGTACAGTATTTTCCCATTGTTGTTTGTATTTACTATTTGAAAGTATTAATATGAACATTATTTATTTTAACATGTATAATCAGCTGTATAGAGCCTAGGACCCATAGTGTCATATCCTCACCAAACAATTGTACTAACAACATGTAATGAAGAATCCTGCATTTTGGTCTGGCAATCAACAAGCAAATAATGAAGGAGGGAGAGAAAAAAGGAAGTGAACATGAATTTGAACAAGGAACACAGTTTATATATACAGGCAGTCCCTGGGTTTCGAATGTGTTCCGTTCCTGGAGAGGTTCTTAAGTTGAAAATATACATAAGTTGAAACGTGTTTTGTGCATACCGTACTTACAGAACAATGTTTAACATCCCACTGTATATACTTAGTCCTTATATACATATAAAATCACTTAATTTAAAAGAAACAAAGAAATAGAATGACAAAATACAGTACAGTAAACCCTTGCTATTTGCGGGGGTTAGGTTTCAAGGAATGGAGTGAATTGGCAAAACCGCAAATAGCAACTTATACTACCTTAGTGCTCTACTGTATACCTACAGTATACTGTGTATGAAAAACTTAAGTCACCAATACTACTCTCTTTCATATGTGGAAGTTTGGAGCTTGATGAAGTGTACTGTACAGTAGGCTGAAGTCTTGTTACTAAAGCATAGGGAAATCATCAGGGTCACTGTTGGAAGAGGGTGATGCAGTGATGGTTGGTTGGAGAGGTGGGTGGTGGAGAGGCGCGTGGCAGGGTGGTGTATGGTGGGGGCGGCACGTGGTGGGAAGGTGGGTGGTGGAGCAGCGGCTGACCAAGTAAATGAGGGAGACGAATCAATTGGGCGAGCTGCTGGTTCATTTTTGAAAACATCGTGATTGGTAGTTGTTTCCTCTTGGGTTTGAAGCCTCTAAACATTTCACTGCACTAGCATCACTAGCACTGACACTAGGCAATCTTTTAGGGGCCATTTCACACAGAAACACTAAAGTTTTCAGTACAACACAAGAGATGCTGCGTCCCGGGCAATGGTTGAGCGCAAACAAAGGGAGAGGAGACGCTGCAGTTGTGTCAGGAAAGGCTTGTAAGCTAGCCACCATCTGCTTGCCGCGAATAGTCGAAATCATGAATCGCAAACCTGCGAATAGCAAGGGTTTACTGTAAATGAAAGTAAAAAATAAATCATCAGGTAAATAAAATAATATTGTACTATAAATTTAAAGTTTGACCTTGTAAAACTGCTGAATGTTTGTAAGTCGGATGTTCGTAACCTGGGGACTGCCTGTAAGAACAAAGATTACTGAGGATATCACAGTTCACAATAAATTTACTGAAAAATGTAGTGGTAAGAAAAGCAGTTAACCATAACACACTTTTTTAAAGACTACACCGTATACCCACAGGGTGTCTACTGGTCTGGAAAACCTGGAAAAGCCAGGCAATTTTACAAATGAACCTGGAATTTTAAGTGAATTCAGTTGAACTTCAAAATACTATTATTTTGACAGCAATCTTACCATAAATTAATGCTGTACTGTATAATAGGTAAATAATTAAAGTTTTAGGAACAAATTCCAGTAAATAGTCCACTCCAATAACTGAATTGTTTGTTTATTATCATATTTCATGTTAGCAATCAAATAACCAAATATAACAGGTTATGGCTACTAATTCTGCAATGAGTATTGTCAGAGATGAATTGTTCTTTTAATTATGTAACTATTTAAGTGGATTATTTCACATATTAATTATGAGTCATATTCTGTAGGTGATAAGGAGTGTGATTTTTCTGGCTTTTTTGGAACGTCCAGGTCGACCCACATGAATTGTACAATTCTGAGGAGAAAAATATGGAGGGGGTCAAGGACTTTGCCGATGTTCATCACTAGACTTGGGTGGGCACAGAAGGGTCTTCAATTTATTTATTAGTGTCATTTACTTTGTATTATCTTTAAATTTCCCAATAGTACATACATACATATTATTGAAAAACCTCTAATTTTGTTATTGTCGTAATAAATACCGAATTAATGTACCTGGAATTTTTCAAATTTACTCCTGGAAAAGCCAGGAATTTTGTTTTGTCTGACCAGTAGACACCCTGACTCAGTGTTGCCAGCAGAACCACATGTGTTCCACATATCACTTTACTTGACATGTTGTGGCAGGTGGTGACAAGATCCTCTTCTTCACATCCACCTGTAGTGCTGTCTTCACCCGATCTATGTTTAAAAACTTGTGTGTATCATCACTAGTTCTTCAAGAATATAGAAACTTAAACAAAATGGTTCAGCAATTTTTTTTTTATGTAAAAAAATACTGTAGTGTAGATGCTGGCCCATGTGTATTGCTGCCTCCAGAACTATTTAGGCCATCACAGATCATATTCAGACAATAATGATGCTCATAATTCAAATTATGCAATACCCAGGAAGCTGGTATGTTATGTGATGTGCTGTTATGTTATTGTCCTCTAACATCTATAGTTACTTCAGTTATGCAACAGTGCAGTATACTGATTATCTGTGTGGGTGCTTTTTTAGTTTGAGTGTTTGTTAAATGTATCTTGAACACAGTAGTGTATTGAAATCAATATACAGTATTACTGTATTTATTTTTCTACATAATCCTAAATATTTATTTTTCTTTAGAAAATAATTTAGAATTAGTTATTTAACTGAGGATGTCAGTGAATTCCTAAATTATATGTTTTTCTAGGTGATGGTGGAAGGACAGGAATTTGGACCAGCACAATTAGGATCTCTGTTTACTTTCATAGCCCGCCAGATGTCACGACAACATGGAGCCATTGCCATCAATAGACAACTTTTTGACCAGGTAGAATAATAAATTTCAGTATTTGAGAAGGAATTCAGTGTTATTGCAGACCCCTGATGAACCCTCACTTTCCTCACCTTTTACTCTCTCAGTGGCTTTTGAGCCATCTTATTATGCCAATTTACCCATTACCCATTTTACTACTTCATATGATATGTCAAGTGCTTTCTTTAAGACTACAAATATGAAAGACAGCTGAATCTCATTCCCTAGATATTTCTTGTTGTAGTTAGATGACTGTCAATATTGCCTCTGATGTCCCCCTGCCTGGCATGAACCCAAACTACATTTAGTTTTTATCCACTCTCCCTTGTTGATTTCTCAATTATTCTTTCCAAACTTTCATAACCTGATCTAACAGCTTCAGGATTGTAAAGCTTTTTTGATGGTCAGGTACTGTGCCATCTGACAGCTCCTGATGCTGAGAGCCACCATGAAGAGCGACAGACTGCTTTACTGGAGCTACTACAAGAGGGAGGCCTTGTACACTATGAAGCTGTTCATCTGCTTGAAAAAGCACGTCAGGCACAATTGTAAGGATAAGAATACAATATGCTATTTTTTAGTGTACAGTATTACAATTCACATCAGTTTATAACATTCAAGTGACCGTATCTTTTTTTTTTCGTTTACTAAGAAGTGGTACTTTAATTATTTTTAATTAATAATCCTGCTGCTTAATTTTTTCTACCTCTTGTGGGCTTTAGGTCAACTATTTTTTTTTGTTAAATTGCAGGATAACCAAACTTAATGTAGTGTTTTTGTCACTATACAGTGGTCCCTCGGTTAACGAACACAATTCGTTCCACAGAGTCGTTTGTTTACCAAAAATTTTGTGAACCGAATCTGTTATTTCAATGGGGTATTGGGAAATTGGTTCCAACTCACAGAAAAAGTATACCGGTACATACAAAGTACTGTACCTGTACGTGTATACCGGTAATAGAATCAACAAAACATTAAATATAAACTAAATACTGTACAGTACTGTAGTACTGTACATTATACTGCACAATAATAAATAAAAAACAATAGAATACTGTATTTTAACTTACTTTGAGGTGTGTATGTTGTATTCCCGGCACCTTTGTTTACATATCAAACAGCTGATTGTAGAGGCAGTCGATGATGACATGCCATATTCTTTACAGAGCGCATTGGTTCTAATGCCTTCTTCGTGTTTCATAATAATTTCTGCACTGTATATTATCAATATGTTAATTAAATTTCAGAATGACCAATAATTTTAATATAAAAAATGCAGAAATATTCAAGAGACCAACTTTCTTGATATTTACTCCTCTGGAAACAAATGTAAACATAGAACTAATTACTGTATTGGCAGACTGGCCCATCAGCTGATCAGCTGATGCGCACAACAAAACGTGTTTGTCGTAAGGATTTCGTTAATCGAAGCTTTGTTCGTTAGACTGAAAATCCTCATGGGAGCTAATTCGTTACCCGAAATTTCGTTAATCGAACCGTTCGTTAACCGAGGGACCACTGTACTGTGTATTTAATTAGGTTAACACCTCTGCTACATATATAAGCTTCATTTTGGCTTTATTCCCCTTTTTTACATACAAGTTAACTCATGGAAACCCTTTTTCTTTTCACACATTTGTACTGTACATCTGAATCAAGAGAGAAATGGTCTCCAAAGATCATTAAGTGTAGTGACAGCAAACTTGCTTTAAATTTTGTGGTAAAATGAACAAACATACACCCTTAAAAGACGAATATACAATGATCATTGTACTGTACTGTACGTGCATTTTATATGCCTGTACAGGTATTTAAAATATTATATCTCTGTAAGCTTGGTATAGCACATGGTGACTCATTTGAAACAAGTTGATGTGAATACAGTTCATAAGGTAATTAAAAACAAAATTAAGTATACACATTTATAATACAGTGATCCCTCGGTTAACGAACGCCTCGGTTAACGAACGCCTCGGTTAACGAAATTTCGGCTAACGAATTACCTTCCATAAGAATCTTCAATTCGGTTAACGAAAAAAATTCGGTTAACAAATTCCTTACGAATTCCTCTCAACATGTTTTCGCTTGCTCACCAGCTGGAATATTAGTCCGCCAATACAGTAATCGGTTCCAGGGCTTAAATTCGTTCCCATTTGAGTAAATATCAAGAAGGTTGTACTATTCAATAATTTTCCAAGTTTTATATTACAATTTTTAGTAATTTTAACAATTATTTAACATAATTCAAGTACAGGGAACTAGTTTTTAGCATGCCAAACAGCCACTTGACTCACCCAGCATGGCGTCAGTTTGTGTCTCTGCTCAGTGGAGGTAACATCTTGCTTGAGACTCTCTTGAACATGAACTATTTTTACGTTTTTACAGTACAATTATTGGTCGTTCAGAAATTTATTTTACATATTGACAATATATAGTGCAGTGCAGTGTTGATTTAAAGAAAATAATCTTGAATTACACCTAGTGAACTTAAAATTTTATGGGTGAAATGACGGCATGAAGCATGGGGTGATTTCTCTTCCACCCCCCACTTCCTTCTCTTCTCCCTTCTCCTCCACCCCCACTTCTAATTCCCATCATCATCAACCAGGAGCCTTCTACATACACACCTCGAAGTAAGTGTACTTAACTGCATTTATTTTTACTTTGTATGTAATTTTCGGTGAGCTGGAACCAATTACACAAAATCCCATTGAAACAATGGTTTCGGTTCACACAATTTTCGGTTAACGAACGACCTTCTGGAACGAATTGTGTTCGTTAACCGAGGGACCACTTTATAATAAAGTTTTGACATGGTACAGGTATACTGACATGTATGTGTGTATGTCTGATCAACTGACCAAGTGAAATAAACAGTATGGTAATTTTAGCCAGTGGCAGGCCAAGCATGAAATGGAGAGAGCTGCTGTAAGGTTATCCCGTTTAACCCACTCAGGCATGGAAAATGGCAGTAAATGTACGTTGATGATGATAAATTGGTCATTGTGAAGTTTTGAAATTAACAGTTTATTGTACCTTGCAGCTATCGTGTATGTGAATATGTTTATGAGGAAAGAGGAGAGCATGAGAAGATCGTAGAGTGCTACCTTGAGGACAAGCTACGGAGACATCAGGTTTTCACCTACATTCGTTCAGTACTGTCCTCACCACAGTTTACTGATCTTCATGCCCACAAGATTAAGCAACAATTTCTCAAACACATCAAAGTTAGTGATGGATATATTTATTTTTAGATATAATGTTTGTTGAGTATGCTGTATCCATATTGTGTGTTACTTCTATTGTTTACCCTCATACCCCCTATACAACTCACTTAAATACATAAATTTCTTTCTCAGTGTGCTGTCATGAAGTTTTATTATACAGTTAAAGCTCAAAATTCCAAGCACTTTGGGCCAAGTAATGTGCAGATTTCTTAAGTTCATGTGCTTTTGAATGGTATGAAGCCCAGATTGTGGAGTGATAATGAGGGTTTTATTATGAGTATTGGTATATGCATGTTGCCTTCATGTCTCCATTACACATAGTTCACTGGCGTGTACTTAACATTTGACACTGCAAAATCTTGTGCATTGGGGTCTTTTGAACTTTGGATTTTTGAACAGTAATTGTACAGTACAGTATATAAAAGGCTAGATGAATGTTGAAAATAAAATAAAAATTCAAATGAATACAGACATTCAATTAGCGTGGAGCCACAATATATATTTCCATGTGCCCATTGGCAGACCAATTCAGTGAAGAAGTTGTAGGTCATTTGTATCTTTCTCCCGTACTCACCTTTTCTAAATAGGTACAGTAAGTAGGTACAGTACAGTACTTAAGAAGCATTTGTAACCCCCCCAAAATATCAGGTTCCTCAGCCTTGACAAGAATACATTTTTTTTTTGCTTGATATATTTTATCATATATTTAGGTGAGGCTTAATTTTTCTTTCTTTGATATATTATTGGAGGAGTCATGTCCAATATGTCCAATAACTAAGGTTCATTTTTCTGTTCATAATGGAGGAAATAATGAAAATTACTATAAAATCCTTTGCTGCAGGAGGCAACCTGCACTGGAGGTTTTAAGAAAGGGAAGTGAGTACAGTATATCTATGTAGAGTACTGTATCTCAAAAAAGTATCTGTCCACACTGTTTAAAACATTATGAGACCATGGATGATAGTTATTGGGATATGCATTTACATTTACTTTGGTGTATAGCTTAACATAAGTAATGCAATGTATATATATTTTTTTGTAATTAATATGATGTTCGATTATCAAATGTAGTAAGATCAGTATGCCACAGAGCCACACATACCAACCCTCCCGGGACATCATGAGTTGCATGTAGCCTTTTGGAAGTCATCGGACCACCTATCCGGGCAGATTTTTTTTTGAGATACAATACTGTACATATTGGAAATTTATGTCCACTCATTGAATGTACTTCAAATTTTGTTGAGTGATTTTGTTCTTTTTGTTATCTAGAATTATTTCATGGTTATCTCTTCCAGACACTCCTTGAGATTGACAGTAGTCGTGTAGCCAGCTTACTGTTGACCATGTCTCAGCTGACTCCTCTCCTGAGTGATATAACACAACAGCTGAGAGAGGATCCACAGCTTTTGTATAATGCTCTTCATGCACTTTTTACCTATAAGTGAGTAAATTTGTACATCTCATTCCCCATTTGTATTGAACAGTTGCATTTGGCTACTTAACCCCTCCGTGGTTATGCCCAAAGATCTATTGGCTACCGAAGTGAAGTTCCCAGGGTTGACCTTCTAGATCGACAGAATGACTCAGCTGAGCGTGTGATTGTCCTAGGATGTTTATTATGATTGATTATAACAAATTTAATTTAGCAGTGTGGAGCCATGAGAGCTTGTATATCTGACTAAACTGGGATGCACACCCAACACTCAGGGTATGCAATCTAAATGTTTCTTTAGAATTCCTGAAAGGGATGTCAGTGATAAGCATCTTTGAAGGAGGGTCTTGGGCATAGGTAAAGGTGCTTGTGAGTTACTATCTGGATGAGGCCAGTCATGGTTTGTGTAGCATTTGGAAGCTTGTTCCTTGAGCAGTATTTTAGCTCCAGTTATGGGGTACGTATGTAATTGTACTAACACTTGAGCTACCATCTTCTCTTTCTAACTGGCCTTTATGCATTGAGTTAGGCTTAAAGTTATGAATGGAAGATTGGCCTTGAAATCCCATTTTATAACTCTTCTTTCTACCGGGTTTACTGAGGTAAGAATTGATGGGGTTGACTGTGACCACTGAAGAAGCTCATTTATTCTGGTGCAGTGGTGAGACTCAATGTTTCCAGCCTTTATTGGTAATTATTGCAATCACTAACCCCTACACTATGTGACACCACTTTTAGTATTTTATTTGGCTAAAGCCAGACAATTTTATTCAGCAGAGGGGACCCCTTAAGTGGTTAACTCATTCTTAGAGACCTGGATGTGACAGGAAAGCATAAGCTAATTTTTTAATAGTTTCAGTCACTTGTCTAGGTCGTATGAGTCATGGATTTTCAACCTGTGGACTTGTTGATTTTGAATAACTTGACAGTCTTGACCATGCTTACAAAATTTTTTTATTACCTATCTTTTATGCTACTGCACCTCATTAAATTTGTAAACTACATACCCAGTAATATACCTGTGTTTTTATGAACATTTACACCCATGAAACACCTTTTGTATTGGATATGGTGCGTAAGAAGTCAATGGTTGTTGTCACCGCTTATTTTAATAAAAATATATTACATTCTTTTAGTGGATTGAAAAAAAAATAAATAAAAATAAAAGTGCTCTTCTAAATCTTCAGATCAACCCATGCATCTCCAGGAGGACGTGGTGGAGACCTCAGTGACAGCCCATTAACCCCCGAGCTTCATGAAGAGTATATTGACCTCATGTGCAGAGTAAACCCCACCCTAGTGTATCCTTATCTTAAGGGTGCTGAAGGTTATCGGTTGGAACAAACTTTAGAGGTACAGTATGTCAGTACAGTACATAGTCGGTTTGGTTTTCAGGTAAATTTAGCCCAACATCAACTGCTGTAGTGGAAAGACATTTTGAGATTCACAATTTACTCCCTCTGATTACAATATTAATTTTCTTGCATTTTTTATATTTTTATCCCCTCACACTGTATGCAGGGAGTACATACATTGATTTGCACATCTGTTTATTACAGCCACCATCAGACCCATCATTCCTTCACCTTCCCTGAATGATTATGAAATGTGAAACAAACAGTTTAGATGGACAGTAGATGTGGACATTGAAACAAAGGTTAAGGCAACAGTTAGAAGGACTCATATCTTTTACAAACATTGATTTTATTGGACTTAGATGTTTGTTAAAAATTTATTAGCAGGATTAAGCAGAAATAATTGATGTTGAAGAAGGGCGAGTATTTCACAAACAATTTTAGTTGTCTTATATAGTTAAATGATATCTATTTCTTTCAGATCTGCAAGAGTCACAATCAACAAGAGTCAACAGCTTTTCTCCTAGAGAGAGCAGGCGATATTAAAGGTGCTTTCGACATCCTTCTAGTCATCCTGAAGTCCAAAGTTGGCGATGTTAGTATCAATTGTCATAAATATATTTGTATAATTTTATTATGTCATGTAGAGAGCAAATTTTTTTTAGCTTGAATTTAGTTTAAATTTACAAGTGGATAAATGAACGTACCGTAATTATATTTACAATACAGTAGAAGTGAGAGGGAGAAAGATTTTTTTTTTTTTTTTTTTTTAGGAATAAAGGGCTTTTCTTCTCCTCACTGAGTTATCCAGATCACAGGGACTGTTGCCTCCATTCTTCCCTGCTCCAACTTACAGTAGAATATTTTTTTGTACATGCCACATCACAAGCTATGTGAATTACATTGCTGGATAACCTTATGCTTGTGACATGGCTGCCTTTATTAACTAGAGAATGTCTCTATCAATACTCAGTTTTCTGTTATGTTTTTCATTATACAGAAACCATTAAAGATTTTTCCCATTTAATTCTGTAATGATAAAATGATGAGCAATACCTGGTACAGTATAAAGTTTTGGTTTATATTAAAAATGGCAAATTGGTAGACTTATGCTGTACTGTACATCTTGTTTAACTCGATTTATATTTATTTGAAAGATATACCTTATTTTCTTCCTGGGTACATGAACAGCTTCTGTGACCAGGACAGCACTTATAAGGAAGAAAAATCATGTGCTCCTAAGCATTTTTTTCTTCATGCTCTAACCTGTCATTTTCTTTGTCATCACTTCTGAGTGTTATGAAACTATAATTTTCAGTAGTCATATTTATGGTTTTATTGATTTTCTTTTCAGCTTTTGTCTAGTGTAGATGATGATGCTGTGAATTCAACTTTGTCATTAGGTCATGTTCAAGCTCAGGTGAGTCAGTAGTCTTTCTTATTATAATGTAGATACTGTTAATGCTTCCAATGTAGTGCTTCTCATCTTGTTTTATATTAATTGGTTGTTTCCAAGGTTTAGCTTTGTAAATTAGATATGTTTTAGTAAATACAGCCAGAATCAATGTTTTGTGTGTCATGGGGGAAAGGTAAATCATCTTACCTGATAACTTGACTTCATGGTCACAGTTACTAGATTAAAAGATCCCTTGTGCTTCCCACAATTTATATGATGGCAGCCCCCAGGCAAGAAGGATTAGCATGGCCTAGGACAGTGGCTGAGTGGCCAGTTACAGCACACACCACACAACCATAATCTCAGGATTAAACCCAAGTTTTATAAAATATGAGTTCTTAGCAGTACCAGCTGCCTTATGGAACCTCTTGTGGATATATACAAAGTGAGTGTAAATGTAGACTTTAGTATTATTAATTTTATGCACTGAACATGGATTCATGTAAATGACATGAGTGGCTTCATGCATTTATCGATTCCATATACTGTACATGTGAGGCTGTGGCTGAGTGAGTGCAGTTCTTGCCTCTTGTCCTAATGGGTACTGGTTTGTTCTCAGGACATTTTCAGTCCACCCAGCTGTAAATGGGTAAAAAGCTTCACATCTGGAAAAGTGAAGGTGGTCAGGTGTAGTGATGGCTAAGTTTCTTCCTTGCTTACCGAAGGCATTGTGCTATGTCCATTGTTTCTAGTAGGCAGTCATGCCTGTGGGACCCTATTTCCCTTTCATGCACAAATGTAAATGACTTTCCCCATAGATTTACCTTGGGACGATATGCAGTGATTAGCTTATATAGCTGTTAAGATTGTTGACTGTCATAAAAGACAAATGGAGGAATGCTGGGTAATGTGAGTAACCTTAATGACAGGTTGTGAAGCTAGTACGAGTATGTCAGCTCGGCTCAAGTCAGCTAGAGGAATCAGGACGTCGAGAGTTGTGGTTCCCCCTGCTTGATGTTTTACTCTCTACTCAACCTCCACTTACTAACCACCAGCACCTAGCTCATGGTAGGTGACCTCGTAAGGAATCTGTGGGAATGGTATTAGAGCACACTGCAAATTGGAAATATATATTTAAAGAAAAGTAGGAAAGTTCTTTACTGTATCCCTATATTATGGCCTTTCATTATACTGTAGTACTGTATATTTGTCTTTTGTGCCTCACTTTTTAACAAATTAACAGATGGATTCCCAACAAATTTCAAGTTTTTTCAGCACCCTTAGCCCACATGAATTACAGAAGAATTTTCTTGTACTGCTGTTCTGCCTTGTATTCTGAGATATGACAGATGTTAAAAGAAAATAATAATAATTTGAACATCCATCTTGTTTTCTACAGAGATGCGTGAGATGGTTGGTCATGTAGTTAACAGCATGATGACACATATATCACTGCCAGCCATCTTAGAACGTGTAATGCATGACCCAGGGTACTGTGGTGGAAACTTTGCTCAGATCAAACATCTTCTTAAAGGTAAGTACAGTACTGTATTGGATTTTTTATATGGATGTTAGCAAAGCAATGGCAGTGCATGGGAAAGTGAGCAGTGATTTTCAAAGACTCGCTCACCATTATAGTGGAAATGCATTCACATTTTGCATGTTTTTGGATTTTGGCTTTTCAGACTGGAGATCATGAATCATACTAAGATGTTTATTTCAATATGAAATATATAAATGTACAGGTATTGTAACTTAGAGTAAATGAAACATGGCAATTTATATAATAAAGACAAAGCATTTTGTGAAACAATGTTTTAGACGTCATATAATTCTTGCATCTTAGAGCCTTACACCAAACTAATTGGATTTAAATTGAGTACAGTAATCCCTCACCAACCACAGATTTACTAACTATGGTTTTGAGTATCCACCATTGTACACCATTTTATTAACCATGGCCACTTCAGATTTCTAGCCTGGTGTTGATGTATTCTTTGCTAGATCACATCTATTAAGTGCTTTGTATTGTTTGCTTCATCATATAGAATGTCCTTAAATAACAACTTGTAGTCCTCTACCATACCCAGGTTGTTTCCCTTTTCTAACCTCTTTAAATTAATTTGCTTATTTTCACGCTACACATTATTTACTTTTGTACAGTATATGGCTTCCTCCTGTCCTGGCAATATTATTACTTAACACTGAGGGTTGGGGAGGCAGCCACACCCCTTGTGGTCTGGTTGTAGCCATCCCGCTCACCGAGTCATTACAATCAGTGCATTTCTGGAAAATTCCGAGAAAATCTCTCCGTTCCGAACATTCAAACGGATTTCCAAGAGATTGCATCATGTTTCCAATGCGGAGACGCGTGCTGGGCAGGCTCAAAGTGCTCGTGAATGGCTGTTGTATCTCACAGCGTGTCTCCTCGAACTCTTGCATCATGACACTCTTACTCGTACATCATGACAGTCTTACTCGTCCATCATGACACTCTTAGTTCATTGTCTGTTGCCATTGTACACGCTTCTTCCCTCGCTCACTGCTGTTTTAGTATACCTGTATAATCTGTTTTGTGCAGTACTATACATAATTGTTCTAGCATATAATCAACCAAGAATACCATTAAAGAAGTGTTAAGATGTAAAAAGTGATTACATATATGTACTGTAAGTGTGAAAGTACAGTACTGTACATATCAGAGTGGGCAGTGTATGCCTACTGTGTAGAAGGTGTATGTGCTGTACATTATAGTGTGTGTCGAATCCCTACTTCATGGAGGGAGATGAGAGGGATAGTTAACAACACCTGCTACAGAAGGTGGTACAGGACAAAGGCAGGCCATCCTATATTATCATATCACTATTAGGCCTGCCTGCATCATTTTTGGGTTACTCTTTTACACTGAGTCATATTGCTCATTAACTTAAGGTGTGGTTATTGTATTGGCAACAGCTTAAAATTTTTACACCTAGGTGGCCTTATGGCCAGCCAGCCTCAAAGATGAGGGGGTAACCTTTATATACTGTATTCACCCTATAATCCATCTTTGTTACAAGTGGTACAGGTATCTCTCGTTTAGCGTTAATTCGCTTAACATTAACGTAATTCAGTTTAGCAATTAATTTTTTTTTACACCCTTTCTCACTTAACATTTGGTCAAAATTTGGTTTAGCAATAGCTTGACTCACTGAGAAGGGGGAAAACTGGGGATGAGGTGGTCTGAGCGATGGCATGTTGCACAAGTAACATGTAATGAAACTAAGTGTATAAAAGTTGTGGAAAAATCATTACAGTACTGTACTCTAATGTGACTTAAAAATAAAGAAAATATAATATAAAACCATAAAATAAAAAAAATGAAGATCAGTGGTGTGTATATTTGTGAAGTGAACGTATTTGTGGTGGCAGTGGTCTGTAACTGCGTTGCAAGCCCAGCTGTGCTCCCTCCCCCAATATGACGCCATGGCATACACACTGCCTGGCTGAACTATGTCGCATTGCCCAGAGGATGGTAGGAGCTATTTTTTGTACATAAAATATGTGCTATTGTATTTTATCATATGCTTTGTATCAATTTGATTGTTTATCAGCAATTTTTGTTGATTTTTGGCTTATGCAATTTGAAATTTGTTTAAATTTGGCCCGCCTTTTGCTCACTAAATCGTTGAACTCTGAGCTACATCCTTTATACAGGAGTTTGATGTTAATAAATTATTCGTTTAACTCTGAAACCTTTTGTGATAGTTATTAGGGATTACAGTACTGTAATATAACAATACTGTACTGATTTTAAGTTATTGTTACAGTATTACTTACTCATATTTGCCTATATTTTCAATGCCCCAGTCGGATAACATGGGACTAGAGTTTCCATTAGTTGAAGAGTGAGGGCCATGTGTTTCACCAAACCAACAACACTGTAGTCTTCAGACACAACCTGCATGGCTAACTGTAGAGCATCTTTGTGTCCTATTGTCCTGCCTGGGAAAAGGAGAAGCAAATTTAGGTGTAGCGAACTTTATAGTCATCTACCTCACAGTAAAATTTATTAGATTGCCACCTCCTGTTAATGATGTTAAATTCAAGATACATCTTAAAATTACACTTGGTTACTTTTATTCATGTAGATTTCTTTTTTTTCTTTCAAGGTATGGTTGAGAGGTATGTTTATGAAGAAACACTTTATGCAACAGTGGTGCGTATCATAGCAGGGGACCAGCTGAAATACCTCACGCTTCAACATGGCCAGGCTTGTTCTCCTCTTGTAGTCTATACAACCACTTGTGCAATCTGTCACAGTGTGTACCATCCATCCAGTAAAGCTGTAGCACATAGGTGAATAAATTACTTTCTGTTACACATTATATTCTTTCAGTTTTGTAGAGAAGATATTTGATTCCAAATTTATTATGATAAACAGCAGCATTAATTATGGAATATTCAGTAGCTTAAATGCTGTAGTACAGTATTATTTTCTTGTATTGCATCATGGGTGAGTGATAGCAGAGTTCTTGTAAAAAAGAATTTAACTTTTAGTTGAAATTTTCAGCTCTATGAATTAATTTCTTGACTGACTGACCAGCTTAGAAAATATTTTTCTTCTTGACCTGTTTGCTTGTGCAGCACTGTCAAAAATACTACCAGCCAAGCCCTAAACACAACTTAACCAAGTTTTGGCTATCTTTGTTTACTTATCTGTAGAAGATAGTTTAGAGACTCACTACTATGATATTTATGGAGGAATGTATTTTAAAGACCGAAGACCACCCTATTTCTTGCAACTTGCAAAATTTTCTCTCGTTGTGTTAGCCAATAATCATCTTTACATTTTCTGCTTCTGAATTTTTAACAATGACATTAGGAACTTAGGGTTTGGAATTTGGCTTACTTGTTTAAAGACATTATAATACAGTGGTCCCTCGGTTAACGAGCGCCTCGGTTAACGAGATTTCGGTTAACGAGTTACCTTCCATAAGATTCTTAACTTCGGTTAACGAGCAATCCCTCGATTAACGAGTTTCTTACGAGCCAACCTGAACATGATTTCGCTTGCATTTGGCGGTCCACCAGCTGTAGTATTAGTCCGCCAATACAGTAATCGGCTCTAGGGCTTAAATTCCTTACCATTTTAGCAAATATCAAGAAGTTTATACTATTCAATAATTTTAAAAGTTTAATATTAAATTTTTTACTCATTTTAACAATTATTGAGCATAATTGAAGGTAATGAAACTAGTTTTATGCGTGCCATCCAGCCTCTCAACACACCATACAGGCGTCAGTCTTTGTATCTTTTCAGTGGAGGTAACATCTTGCTTGAGACTCTTCAACTAAATGCTTTTTTTCTGTTTTTGCAAGCAAATTATTGGTCATTTTGAAATTTATTTTACATATTGACAATATATAATGCAGTGCAGTGTTGATTTAAAGAAAATAATCTTGAATTGCACCAAGAGAACTAAGATTTTATGGGTGAAATGGCACCATGGGGTGACTTCTCTTCCACCCCAATGCCTCTCTTCTCCCTTCTCCACCCCCATTCTAATTCCCATCATCATCATCATCCAGGAGCCTTCTACATACACACCTCAAAGTAAGTGTACTTTTCTACCTTTTTTGTTGAATTTAGGCAATTTTCGGTGAGCTGGAACCAATTACCCAAAAACCCATTGAAACACTGGTTTTGGTTAACGAGTTTTTTGGTTAACGAGCAACCTTCTAGAACGGATTGTGCTCGTTAACCGAGGGACCACTGTAATCAACTGTTTAACTAACTACTTGTCTGTCTTAAGTGTGTATGGCAGTGTTTATTTTGAAGTACCTGTACAGTATAAACAAAAACATGAGGATATTGCCACTGTACTTTGGCTTTATAGTCTGTTCAACTTTCTCTCACAGCTGTGGTCACAGTTACCATGCACATTGTGGAGGAGAATCTTCTTCTTGTGTCTTGTGTACAGGAAGCAGTCAGGAAGAACAGCCAACAGAAGAGACAGAAACTAATAACACTAAAACTCAACCTATGGTAAGAATGCATTTGTTATTACATTCTGGAAGGGGAGAGAAAGAAAGATGGGAAGAGGGAGGAAGGAATGAGGAGAGTAATAGAGTTAGAGGAGGTTTTCCCATCCCATTTCCTTCCACAGAGGAAGAGAAAATGTGATGGATAGAGGAGGATATCATCTCACCACCCCAATTTCCACCATTTTCCTCCATCTTTCCCTCCCTTCCTATCTCCACAACCCTATCCTTTTGTTGCTGATTTCAAATGTTAGAGGTATCACTTAATTGTAGTTTAATCATATAATTGTAATTCATATTAATATTATTATTAGTAGTAGTAGTAGAAGTACAGTAGTAGTAATTTTAGTGTGTAATTTAGTTCTATATTTTTTTGTAGAGTTTATCTATTAGTCCCTTAGGGCAGTTTATTACAAAATATAGAATGCACTTCTTTTTGGCGAGGAAATCCTCAAATAATAGCAGAATAAGAAGAGAGGAGACAATGATAACCGAATGAACCTAAAACTTGGTCCCTCTCTCTCTCTCTCACACAAATTTATTCATTCCTCACAAGCATTTTTTCATGATATCCTGTAGGCATGAAAAGTATTTTTCTATCATCTTAAGAGGTGGGTGCTAATTACAAAGGCCTTAGTCAATGCCGTAAGACAGTTCTGTACAGTATTGGAATGTGACTAACATTTTTGTTTGGGTCTTTCATTAGTTATTTCATACCTGCCACTTAAGGTACAGTAAACCTCCCTTTTCACGGTATTTTTGTAAGTTTCACCTGTACACAGTTATTTAATTGGCAGCATTATTTTATAAACAGTATAAATTAGGGGTGCACCAGATAAGGTAATGGATAAAAATTCTCCTCAAGACTGTCATTCATGGAAGGCCCTTCTTTCTTCCACACATCAGTCTGGGGCTGCACTTCTTAGCTATGGGAGGGTTATAGTTGTAAAGGCTTAATTTATTTTGTAGCTCACTAAATTATAATATAAATGTCAAATTAAAAGGGTAATTATACGAATAACAGGGACTACAGTAATATCTCCGTTAGCCGGAATCCCTCAAATCCGGAAATCTCCAATAGCCGGAATTGAAATTTTTTCGGAAAAATCATTCCCAAAGCCGGAATTTTGTGCGGGGGGAAGACCTGACCCGGCCTGGAGGTAGGGTGGGAGATTAGCGATCTCCTATTACTGTATACTGACCTTCTGATGGAATGTCAGGTTACCTTTTTTGGCTGGAGGATTAGTGGGACTCATGACCTGAAGAGGTCTTGAATAAACACAAAAACTAAAGTATTTTTTAGGGAGATTGTGATAAGTGTAAGTATAAATGAGCAAAGTTGTATCCCTTCAACATTACATTACATAACATTTTAAAATATGGAGTGAGAAAGCAGAAAGGTGTGGATGATTGGAGAGATGGAGTGGGAACATGCACCAGTGTTGCCAAGCGATAAGCTCCTCAACAGCTGATCTTTTAATTCGCCTCCGTGCAGTCATATAACAAGACCCTCACCGGATGCTTGTTGTCTTAATTCCCATGTGTGTGTGTGTGTGTGTGTGTGTGTGTGTGTGTGTGTGTGTGTGTGTGTGTGTGTCCTCAAGTGTACTAAGTTAATTACTAAAATTATTATGTCTGGTGCAAAATAAGGGATGTTTATACTCAAATTAATCGTTATCTTACAAGAATTTCAGCAATGCAAGTTATATTTTTTTAAGTCAAAGCAGTGACATTTTATAAGGGAAAACTAAGCTCCTTCATTTATACTGTAATCCTTGAGCAAGTTAATCTCTCCTCCTGGGAGAAGGGTCCAGTTGGAAGGGGGTGGGGGTGACTGCACCTCCCCCACACACACACACAAAAGGGTCACTTACTGTGTCTACTGTTTATTTATTTTTCATTAAATAGTGCAGACACGTTACTGTAATAATCTGTGCTCATTAATACCTGTGCGAGGGATAGATCAGGGAAGAAAAGGAGGATCTTTCACTATTGTTTCCCCTTCCCACTCCAAGATCTTTTAGGTAAACAACTTGAGCTTATGTCCAATCTTTCATGGTGAATAGTGAAACTTTTTATACATCTTTTTTGCAGGTGGGACTGGATGAAACACAGCTTGAAGGCATCCGTCGTGTGAGAGTTTTAGGTTCTGGAGGATCAAGATTACAATTTCTAGAAGAAATATCTACACCTCGGGGAGGACCTGGTGCAGAAGCCTCAGCAGCAAGCACACCTTGGAGGAACTCAGGTTCACTATCTGGTAGTCCAGAAATTTGGCTGTCACAAAACTTTGCCCTGAAGTTGGCCCCACCAACCATTGATTTTAATGGAGATGATAAATGGTGATTACACGTGAAGTATCTAGACACCAGCAATTCTGAGTTTCAAGAAAATAGTGGGTAAGTGTTAAACCTGCCAAACTATTTTCCACTTAATAGGGAGTATATTAGAAGAGAAATTTGCAGAGAATTAAACCAAAGTGTGTTGAATAGACGCTACCTATACAGTATTCAGAAATGAGAGAATCTTATATTTCTTCATGAAGTTACATTATATTTTGAAATTCACAAATTGAACTGCATTAATTTATTTTTTTTCTGTTAAACCTTTAAAGACTGAATGAATGATGGGAATGATGAAATCTTTGGACATTAAGTGTACGGTACAATGATTTAATAATAACTAGGAAAAGAAATCCGAGTATGCAATACCTGTGTAATAAGTATAGTACAATATACTGTACTGTAAAGGTAGATTTTGGAACATGTTTTCAGAACCTTTATGAAATTAATTGAGTTTCTAATTTGAGAACTTTTGGAAATCTTGGGATAAGGAGATCGATTTTAAACAATCCAATAAAAATATTAGTACTATACAGTACAGTACTGTAATCTAAGTTGCATCAGTAAACTGACTGCACACACAATACAATACTCAACCCAAAAACTTTAGGTATCTCGGGGTTCAGTTAACAGCATATATATTCCATGGGAAAATATGATGGAGGTCCACTGGCAGAGTCATGGAAGAAGCGAAGTTTAAATTTGGTTGGCATATTTGAGAAACTTTGCTATGATGACATTTCATAGATGCATGTATTATAATATCTTTAGTTTTATTGTATTTGCCGTTCTACTTATTTTTCACTTTGTGAACTACAGTACTAGGGATAACATTAACAGGAAATCCCAAGTCATTTCTTGTTTGATTAAATTTTAAATTTTTTGATGCAGTAAACTATGTCAGTGTGATCACCAAACCATTTGCGGTAATAATTTTCCCACCTGTACTTTGACTCTTATTATCAGCAGATAGACTCGTACCTTTTGATCAGCTGGCATGTAGGGAGGCAACCATGACCCACAAATTATTTCTAGGCTTGCCAGTGTCTTCTCAGTCACAGCCAAGTGCAGACGTGCATTCAAGTCAGATTATCTGAGTACTGTACCACTAATCCCTTACCCAGCAACAGATAATTTGACTTGACTATGAAAATGTCAGATCATAAACTTTTTCTGTAAAGGCTCCTCTGTCAGTTATTAAATTTAATAACCTAAAAGGTGTGCACAGCACTCAAATTATAGTCAGATAATGTTATTTATTATAAAAAAAGTCTTTAAATTATGTGACAACTTTAGAAGGGTATTTTTTCTTCATCTTTTCCTTTACACTGAGGGTACAGTCACCCACAAAAGTCCTGTTGTCTTTTCTGCCGCTCCACGAACCCCGAGATTCAGATTCGTGAATCCGAAGCATTTATGGACAGAACAGTGCTTCAGTGTCTCTTGCTTTGAGTTCATGAGTCTGAATCTCGGGGTTCATGGAGCGGCAGAAGAGCTGACAGGACTGTACAACTATCTACTTGGGATTCGCATCGAATGGGTTATGAGTTATATTTTAAAAACAATGTACAGTAGTACTGTATCTTCTATTAAAGATTGTTGCAATTTTTTATTAGAATATTATCAATAGAGCTTGCAGTATTTAAGATTGCTGACAAGAATATGATCATACAAAACATTTATTAATCTAATACCTTGTCCAACCTCTTCTTGCATCAATCACTTTGTTTCTTTTATTAAGTAATAGAATAAACTAGATTCCAACATAGTGGTGGGCCATCACTGGATAGTCTCCCACACCTGGGATTTAAGGCGCTCTTCCCTGTTTCCTTTTAGATCAATCCAGAAATTTTCTACTTCAGTTCAACTTTTAGGTCAAGAAGAAAATGAATTTACACTGGTTCATTCAGTACTCTCTTCCTACCATAACTGCTCATTTGCACAGAAAACACCTAGATAACATAGTCACCCCAGACACCCACGCCTAACGCCCCTTAGTCACATGAGACACCCAAGTGTTACATTAAATCCTCCTTTTGGGTTTACAGTATCAGAAAATAATTATTTAATGTGAAACTTTTTTGACAACTGGCCAGTCTCAAATACTGTACAGAGAAAACAAATGCAAAGAGTAAAATAACTTAATTTAATAAGTTAAATTATTTACAATGTTTGCTAAGAAACATTAATGACAACTAAATTTGAGGTCTACTCCATATGAAAATTTACCCATTGACACCAAGGCTATATATTGTCCTGGGTTCCTGAAACACCCTAATTTTCATGTAAAATGACACAAAGGCCTGAAACGCCAAAATTTGCCTGAATAATGACACCAAGACTCTATACAGTATATTCTTGGGTGCCTGAAACACCCAAATTTGCTAGTAAAATGACATATAATCTTGGGTACCTGAAATACCCAATTTGCCTGTAAAATGACATAGACTATATAGTCTTTGCTGTCTGAAACATCCAAATTTCTTTATGAGATGACACCAAGGATATACTGTATATAGTCTTAGCTGTCTGAAACACCCAAATTTTCCTATACAGTGATATCTCCGCTAACCTGAACAATAATTGGTACAGAGCACTTCCGGGAATGAGAGATTTCCGGGTAACAAGAATACTCTCTCAAAGCCGGAAAAAAAATCCCCCATCCCCGGGATTTTCCGGAAAATGTGCCCCTCGGAAAACCATTCCCAAAACCACGATTTTCCGTAAAATTCCGGCTTTGGGAATGATTTTCCGAGAAAATTTAAATTCCGGCTATCGGAAATTTCCAGGTTTGAGGGATTCCTGCTAAAAGACATATTACTACTATGAAACCAAGGCTATAAGTCTTGGGTGCCTGAAACACCCAAATTTGCCTGTAAAATGACACCCAAGAGTTGAAACTGCGCATCTCGCATGGACCGACACAAGAGCTGTACAGTATTTATTTACAGAAAATCACTGTACACGTACAATATTGTAAATGTACAGGTATACAGTACTGTACTACTGTTGTACAGTACAGCATGCCCTTAAAATTTGCGAGGGTTAGATTCTCAAAATGGCCACGAATAGCACGGAGTTGACCTGAGAGTAGACTCACATTTTTTCTAAATTTTGTTGTGTTGTTTCTGATTATTTGTGAGAGGATTTTCCCATTATTATTTACTTGTATGTGTTTTGTGTATGTGTGTCTACACACACACACAGGTAAAAGAAATTACATATCTCTAGTACGAATGGCTCCCTGTCCTGGATTAAAAAATGCCAGCAACTTTAAAACTACCCTTAAATTTTCTTGGGTAAATCCAGGGTGTCATCTGTGAGCTAAAAATCTGCAAATTGTCAGGGCATGCTGTTTATACTTTACTGACCAGCAGATGCTGTCGTTTTGAGCCTTCAGTAGGCATACTGTACTTTAGCTTTCAAGTTTATTCAAGACATCTTCAGGTCCTGAGACCCACTAATCCCCCATCCAACAATAGGTGACATAACATTAAATCAGGTCAGTAATATGAGATCACTAATACCCCACCCTACCTCCACCTGACATTGTGTCAGGTCAGGTCTGGTCAGGTCAGTTACATGAGACCCATTAATCCCTCACAGCTCCATATCATATAGATTTTTAGTTTTTAAATATATTTATTTAAGCAAACTTTTAGAAAAAATATTCTGGATTATTTTAATAAAAATGGAGTTTCTAACTAAATTAGAACTGCTTTTACAGACTCTGGTAGTTTAAGCTCTTGGAAAACTCCCCAGTACACAGAAACATTCTGAGGATGTGGACTAGTATCTATCTTTGCAAGATGTGTAGTTTAGCACAAAAACTTTTCTCAGTAACCAGAAAAATTTCCAGGGATGGGGTATTTTTCCGGGTTTGAGAAAGTCGCCTGGTTAGCCGGAAATCTCTCATCCCCGGAAGTGCTATGCACCAATTGTCTGGCTAACGGGGATATCACTTACGTGAGGAATATTGATTCAAATTTTTACAAGCATAAGGTTAGTTTGTTCATATTCTGATCTCTTTGTAATTATGCTGTAATATAAGCATAATTATTTAATGTATTGTAATGAATGATAAAACCAAAACATGATTTTTGTATCTCTTCAATAGGCTTACTTTGTATTTTGTTAATGTACATAAATATATATTTCCATATTTGTAATATAATTTTCTAATCTTTTCAATACTCATGTCTGTGTGCTATGACATTAAAGAAAAGACCTTTAGCAAGCTGTAATACAGTACAGGTATTGTCAAACTAATATATTGACAATCTTTTACCCCCCAAGAAAAAGAAAGAAAAAAGACAATATTTAATGTATAAACTAGTACACCATTCCATTATACCAAACTCAATATACTTTAAGTTAATGCTCAAGAAAATAAAGTACACTACCGATTTCTTTTACGTGTCTCTATATCCTACATGTGTCAGCTCTCTTCACCTAACAAAGTAATACATATACATACAGGTAGTATATATTGGAGAATTGTTTGACATTGGACCTGCCATTTTTTATTTTTTGTAATGTTCCTAAAACAATGCTTCTTGATTCAAAACCGTGTGTGAAGCAAATATGCAAAGAGGATTGTTTACCTTATTTACCTAATGGCCACCCAAACTAGAGGTGGCCATGCAGAGGAAAAGAGGCCAGTTGTCTGTGTAGGATCCATTCCATTGTTCTTGAACAGTATTCTCTAGGGCTTCAGCATATCATCACCCAGAAATAAGCTAAAAGCACTGAACTTGCCCCCCACCTCAACACACACACCAAGGGCAGATCCAAAGAGGGGGGGGATCTGGCCCCCCTCTTTCACCAGAAAATTCCAATAAATTTTCTTTAATGCAGTATTGTAGTCGGGCATTTTTGTATAGGAAAGAGTATTTACTAGTGACTTCAGAATATCTCTTAATATCAAGTGCACATGGCCTCAAATCGTCCACGATATTGGTCATCTTAAAAAAAAAATTCCGGGGGGCTTACAGCACCCCCCTAAAACTCCCCTCAGGCTTTATATTTAATGGGATCTAAGTACTGTACAGGTAACTCGCATTTTACGCGTGTTTGATTTAAGTGTTTTTGGAATAGCGCGATTGTTCAATTAATACCAAAAGCTAATTTACGCGCACCTATTTTTGAAATAATGCGCTCAAGACAGTTTAAATTTGCCGCGTATATTCGCCTGGCAGTGGAGTTGCGTGTGATGCCTGGTGAGGTGCTTGTAAGTTATTACTATAAAGTCGTAGTAATATCAACATCAACGATTTTAATATTAACAATAATAATAATTATTATAATAATGTAATAATAAAAATTATTGCGACTAATGATGAAGATAATGATGATAAATAAGTATTCTGTACAACAACTGTGACAACGTCCAGTAAGCTTCTCGCGTATTGCTTTCTCTATTCACACCAACACCACTTTTTCTCTCTGCTCTCATTTGCATTGTGTGTTTATTATGTACCTTTTTAGTGTTAAATGTTGTTTTCCCCACTGAGCATGTCTGGAAAGCGCCCATCTTCCTCATCTGAGGAGCCTAAAGCTAAGAAGGCACGAAAAACAATCACAATGGGCGTGAAATTAAATGTGATCACCCGCCTTCAGAGAGGAGAGCGTGTGTCGGAGGTTAGCCGCATGCTTGGTTTAAGTGAGAGCACTGTTCGTACTCTGTGCGGTATATGATGGTTCCCCTAACCTGTACCATTTACATGTATTCTTATGGGAAAATTATGTTTAATTTACGCATTTTTTAATTAAGCGGTGGTTTTCAAGAACGTAACCTCAGCGTAAAATGAGAGGTGGGTGTACATCCAGAATAACACAAAAACACCAAACAATCACCTCGGAACCCATAGTTCGCGAGTACAGTAACTAGCATTGAAAAAATTAAATTAAAATCATGAAAGCGTCATTACGACCACTTATTACCCCACAATCAAATTGTTGACCATAGATTTGGAATCGGCATGCTCAGGAGTATCTACAGCTCCTCCCCGACTTACGACGTGGTTAGGGACAGACATCCAGGTCATAAGTCGGAAATGCTTAAATAACACATAGAAAATCGAAAGTGGGGGTCTAGTTTTCTTCTCAGCACCACAAAACACTCATTTTTAAGCTTACCAGCCATTTTAAAGTGTACTTTACTGCATTTATTTTTAGTTTGTATGTAATTTTCGGTGAGCTGGAACCAATTACCCAAAATCCCTTTGAAACAATGGTTTCGGTTAATGAAATTTTCAGTTAACGAACGACCTTCTGGAACGAATTGTGTTCGTTAACCGAGGGACCACTGTATATATGAGATAATTCGGGGGTTTTATAGCAGCAATAAATATGAATGCTTTTTTTTTAATGAAATTACAATTATACAGACCACAAACAATATGAATACTGTATCTCAAAAGTAATATCTCTACACACAGCAGCTTTATCAACAGCCATTTATATACTGTACCCCAAATCACACAGCAAATATTTCCAATTTCTCATTTACTGGCAGAAGTTATAGTGGCCACAGAAGGAGGTGACAAGTGTCTCCTTTCCCTCACCAGGCAGAAATAAGCATTCCGAG